CTGCCAATCTGTGCGCGCAGCCCAGTTTATTAAATCACGAATTCCAAACGCTAATCACGAATCACGAAACAAATTAAACAAACTGTGGACAAAACTGTTTTGTTTGTTACATGTTTGGATTTCCAATCGTGGCGCCCCAAAAAAAAGATGATTGATGGAAAAACAGTTAGGGGACCGCCATATAAATGTTGAATATATTCACAGATCGAGTGACCGACAGTTGGGAACAATGGAGGATCAGTAAAAAAATCCATGTTTATATATTATGTATTAGAACTTTAATAAATATATAAATATAAATGTCTTACTGCACCTCGTTTGTTTTTTCCTATTGGTTACTTCTCACTTGATCTGTGAACGAAACGGCGTTAAAATGAGCCATTTACATGTACATAATACGTAATATTTGTATTTGCAGTACACTGGCCTACTTAACACCATCTTGGTTATTCTGAATAGTTTTTCCCGAAACAATTGCGTGGACGAAAGTAATCTTAACCTAAACACCACATGGACGAATAATTTATTTTTTTCAGATTAATTGATTTGGACAGACAGATTTTTTTTGCCATGGTGAAGCAATTCCAATCTTCCTATGCATGGCTTAAAGGGTAATAGTTTATCTCTCTACAGACCCCCTAGACCAAAATGATAAGCTGCTGTTTGGAGGTCTCTTGCTGCTGGTTAAAGAGGGCAGACCAACTAAACAGTCCATTTGAGATACATCTGTATTCAAACTTTCTTTTTTAAATCTATATAATGCATTAAAATAAAAAGAATCATTTCTATATATAGTTTCCCTTAAACTACATCACTAATTGTGTATACGGGGATTACAGTGTGGAATACAAACAAGGTTATAGTATAACACAACAGGATGTAGACACATCTTTATTACAGTCTGGGGGTAGTTATAAAACAGTGAATGGATTGCCATCCCACGTGTTCTACTTTAATGGATATTCATAAATATTACATATTAATAATCACAGCAGCATTTAAGGACTGTTTTCTGCCTTCTCTACATTACTATGTATATTTAGTGAGAGCCTAACCATCGTGCTAAATTAGTTCTATTCTACAAAAAAATATTTATACAATTATGACATTTATTAACCACTCACTATCTGATTAATAAATTATTATCGGTGCATGCATGCAAACAAATTCTAATTCCTTATTAAAGTCTAAAATGTATTACTTTATTTTATCCTCTTTCTGATATATTGCTTTAAATTCAGTTCCAATCGATTTTCATTCAGACTTTTATAAATATACATGTGTAAAAATGTTTAAAAAAAAATAAAAAAATGTGTATGTTGTTTCTGAAGTATACATTTGATAAATAACCTGGATTGGAAATATTCTGCTAGCCAGATATGATTTCACTTTGGCCTTAAATCTTAAATTTACTTTGAATTATATCCAGACAATTCACACTAAGTTAAATAACCGTTATAACTGATTTTGGTCAACCAAGTGCCTTTCAAATCCATAGTTTAATATTTATCACTTTTCGCTAAATATTGCTTTGTAATATTTTATTTCGATAGGTAGAGTTAGACTTGCCATTAATTTAATATGAATTTAAACTGTTACACTCAGTTTAGGAGTGTTTTCTAGTAGGTAAAGAGCAGGTATAGAGTCAGAATCCATCCCTTGTCTTGACGTTAGAAGGAATATTGAGTGGGAACATCAAAATTACTAAAATATTTAGGTGTAAACGGCATGGCATAATGTGTGATTTCTTGTGAATACCATAGGCTGCCTTCCATTGATTCTCTATGAAGATTATCGCTGTGTTATACGACCTTTTCATAGAGATCGGTGACTGTTGCAACACTTTGTAACGAACAGACAATAGCCCAGACATGTTTTTTTCAAACGGTGGTTTTGATTTAATATTTCGGGATAAGCCTTTCAAACGATTTCATATTTTCGTGTAAAATTTTACAATTAACTAATATTTTCAAAAATATTTTAATGTTTTTATATATTTTGGTATATAGATGTAGTTTTATATATAAAGTTAGGGGGCCGCCATAATATATAATATATTTCTTAATAATTTGATATTTTGAATAAAGTATTTTAAACGTTTACTCAATTGAAAACCTTATCCAAAAATATTAAATCAAGGCCTGTGTTAGTGTAGTTTTGAAGAACTGAATTTATCTATTTAGTACCAAAAGGTTTTCTGTAAAAAAAAAAAAAAGTCAGGAATTTTAGTCTTTTTGCAATCATGACTTTCTTCATGAATGGAAGGCAGTAGATTTTTACAGGGTAGGTTAACGTGGTCACATATAAATATGGAATCTCTTGTAAAAATAGATTTTGGCACCAAACTTATCAAATAAACACATGGTACATATTTAAAGGGACAGTATAGTCACCAAAATAACTTTAGCTTAATGAAGCAGTTTTGGTGTATAGATCATGCACTGGTCAATTCTCTGTCATTTAGAAATTAAATCACTTTGTTTATGCAGCCACAGTCACACCTCCTAGCCTTACACAGCCTCCCTCAACACTTCCTGTAAAGAATCATCTAATGTTTACACTTCCTTTATTGCAAATTCTGTTTAATTTAGAATTTCTTATCTCCTGCTCTGTTAAAAGCTTGATAGACCCTGCAGGAGACTCCTGTATGCAACTAAAGTTTAATTTACAGAGCAGGAGATAAAAACTTTTAGAGTAACTTACATCTGATGGAAAATGAAACCATTTTGTTTTCATGTATTCGGTGTCAGTCAAAGCCCAAGGTGTGGCTAGGGCTGCATAAAAAGAAACAAAAAAGTCATTTAACTCCTAAATACCAGTGAGTTGAACAGTGAAACTTCAGAGGCATGATCTATACACCAAAACTGCTTCATTACGATAAAGTTGTTTTGTACATTAGAGTGTCCTTTTAAGTTTTTCCTCTGAGTGTATTTTATATTTATTTGATTAATTGTTAATGTTTTAAACTATGTTCAAAACGCTCTAAATACGTAACCAAGCTGGAAAATAGAATGAGTACCAGGGCACGTATGTGTATTTAAAAACTTGAAGTGCTATCTAACAGATATCTACATTCTAAAATATGGTATACACATCCGATGGGAAAAGGGACAGCACAAATCATTGACAACAACCCCGATTTGTGAACACATGGGAACACTGTACAGTGAAATATGGGAGTCTTTATTATATAATTATCTTAGTATCATTTAATTTTTTTTATATCTTTTCCCTTATTTCTTGCAGCTAACCTTCTTAAACCTGATGTATTCACAATACTTCTTCATTATTCCATTCTATTCTACTCTGTTCTCTCACTCTCTTGTTAAATTAGGGATATATAGTATATCAATTAGAGATACTCATTAGAAGAATAAAGAATTCCCGGAGATCGCACATCTACCATTCAAACTAATCTAACCCTTGTAAAGGAAAAACTGTCAAAAGAGTTCATGGGTCTTTGGTATGCTATAACTTTTTTAAATTGTGTGTTATCGTTTTGTATCGACTTCTCCCCTTTATTCTGTCATTCAAATGTTTTGTTAATTATTTTAATGTTTTGGTATATATAGATATACTTTATATATATATGATATATATTTCTTAATAATTTGATATTTTGAATAAAGTATTTTAAACGTTTACTCATTTTAAAACCTTATCCAAAAATATTAAATCAAGGCCTGTGTTAGTGTAGTTTTGAAGAACTGACTTTATCTATTTAGTACCAAAAGGTCAAGAAAAGGTCAGGAATTTTAGTCTTTTTGCAATCATGACTTTCTTCATGAATGGAAGGCAGTAGATTTTTACAGGGTAGGTTAACGTGGTCACATATAAATATGGAATCTCTTGTAAAAATAGATTTTGGCACCGAACTTATCAAATAAACTAAGGTGGACAATCATTGGCTGCTGGTGCCATCCTTCTAAGGTGGACAATCATTGGCTGCTGGTACCATCCTACTAATGTGGACAATCAAGGCTGCCAATGCTGTCCGACTAAGGTGGACAATCATTGACTGCAGGTGCAATCCTACTAACGTGGACAATCCTTGGATACCAGTGCCACCCTACTAACTTGGACAATCAAGGCTGCCAATGCCATCCTACTAATATGGACAATCATTGGCTGCCAATGCCATCCTACTAATGTGGACAATCATTGGCTGTGATGCCATCCTGCTAATGTGGACAATCATTGGCTGCTGGTGCCATCCTACTAATGTCGACAATCATTGGCTGCTGGTGCCATGCTTCTATGGTGGACAATCATTGGCTGCTGGTGCCATCCTACTAAGGTGGACAATCAAGGCTGCCAATGCCATCCTACTAATGTGGACAATCACAGACAGCCGATGCCGTCCTACTAATGTGGGCAATCATTTGCTGTCGGTGCCATCCTACTAATGTGGACAATCAAGGCTGCCAATGCAATCCTACTAATATGGACAATCATTGGCTGCCAATGCCATCCTACTAATGTGGACAATCATTGGCTGTGATGCCATCCTGCTTATGTGTGCAATCATTGGCTGCCGGTGCCATCCTTCAAATGTGAACTGTCATTGACTGCCAATGCTTTCCTACTAATGTGGACCATCATTGGCTGCCGGTGCAATCCTACCAATGTGGGCAGTCATTGACTGCCAATGCTATCCTATTGTGGACCATTAATGGTTGCCTGTGTCATCCTACTAATGTGGACAATCATAGACAGCGAATGCCATCCTGCAAATGTGGACCATCATTGGCTACCAATGCCATCCTACTAATCTGGACAATCAATGGTTGCCGGTGTCATTCTACTAATGTAGACAATCATAGATAGCTGGTGCCATCTTACTAATGTGGACCCGCATTAGGTGCCAGTGCCATACTACTAATGTGGACAATCATTGGTTGCTGGTGCCATCCTACAAATGTGGACAATCATAGACAGCTGATGCCATCCTACAAATGTGGACAATCAATGGTTGCCGATGTGTATTTCTGCGCTCAAGTATGATGTTCTGTCAGCCATTCATCACAAATAACAAGTATCTGCCACCAACAACCCCCCGGTACCCCCATCCATCCATCAAGCTTTCTCACATGATAATAACAGGTGGTGGTCCACAGCTGTCTTTTACTCATTATGTTTTTATCTTTGTTTTTAATGCTCATGTTGATACATATTCTGTAATTGAATTAAATTGTGCTTCTCCCCAATTTTCCATCCATTCTAAACTAGATTGTAAGCTCTTCAATCTAGGGTTTCATCCAGCATCTCCGTGTTCAATGTATTGTCATGCAATAAATCTCCAGGAATAAAGGTCCCGTTCAGCGCAATGCTCTGCACTTTCCCAGAAAAGGCAGAATTACATTGAAAATGTTAATTTCACACGAACTGCACCAAACTTACTGAACCGCAGCAAAAGAAACAAAACGAAAAAAAAAGGGAAACACGCCATCTATTATCATTAAACATGTGCTAATCCCTTGTACCTTTAACCCCTCTGCTGCCAAAAGGGGCCTTGCTCTGCAGGAAGAAGGGTTAATACTGACAGTCATATAACCAGCACCTTAAACCACAAACAATTCCTGTATTGGAGAAGGGGAGGCGACAGAGACAGCAGCAGGAGGGGATGAAGGAGAGAGGGAGAAACACACAGAGGAAGGGAGGAGGGTAGGAGGCTGAAGTCATGAATTATTGATAATAATGCTGGGTCTCTTTAACTGGGAGCTGAGTGTGACACCCTGTGTGTGTGTGTGCACGCAGAATAGCGAATGAGACACTCTGTATGTGTGAGTGTGTCTGTGTGTGACAGAGGGTGGGGAATACTCTGTAATTCTGGGCTTTTATGTCAGCTTGTGCCCATCTCTCCCTCTGTGACACTGTCGCCTGCTGCCAAAGGATTCCATTTTTTTCTATTTTATTTGGAAACATATTTTTTTCATAAGGGTTTTTGTGGGGGTTTTTATTCTTGATTTTTTCCCTTTGGAATTCCTCTCCTCCCCCCCAATTTTCATTTTGCACCTGCCAGCAACATCAGCAAACCCCCATTCCACCTCTGAGAGCCAGCTCCTTAACCCTCCATCATTTGGGTGAATCTGCACCCCGGGGTGGGGGAGAGAAGGGAACCCTGTGGATTGCACTGTCTCAGACTGTCATGTTGGCTGCAAGGCGTTCTGGGATATGAGATGTTGGCGTGACCTATTTTGACTGCTGATTATTTTACAGGAGGAATTTATTCACCATTTCTAACACCTGCAGCCCCTCTAAGGATATTCAAAGAGGCGAACTTTACCTCCTCTGACTATCCCAGTGTCATCTTTATCCGTCTGGTCCTCACCCTGCCTGGGATACTGGAATCATGAGCTGAGCATCTCACGCTGGAGGTAAGAGGGATGTGGGGTTTTATACATCTGCATGGATACATAATAATATGGACATGAGATACATAATAACAGGGACGCAGGACCTTCTCACATACACAGACACCCAGATACCTACCTCACATCTCCTCCTATAATACAGGCACCAGGATACCTACCTACCTCTCAGCTCCTAATACACAGACACCCGGATACTTACCTCACATCTCCTCCTATAATACAGGCACCGGGATACCTACCTCTCAGCTCCTAATACACAGACACCCAGATACCTACCTCACATCTCCTCCTATAATACAGGCACCAGGATACCTACCTACCTCTCAGCTCCTAATACACAGACACCCGGATACCTACCTCACATCTCCTCCTATAATACAGGCACCGGGATACCTACCTCTCAGCTCCTAATACACAGACACCCGGATACCTACCTCTCACCTCCTAATACACAGACACCCGGATACCTACCTCACATCTCCTTCTATAATACAGGCACCCGGATACCTACCTCTCACCTCCTAATACACAGAAACCCCGATACCTACCTCTCACCTCCTAATACACAGACACCCGGATACCTACCTCACATCTCCTTCTATAATACAGGCACCCGGATACCTACCTCTCACCTCCTAATGCACACACACCCGAATACCTACCTCTCAACTCCTAATACACAGACACATGGATACCTACCTCTCAGCTCCTAATACACAGACACATGGATACCTACCTCTCAGCTCCTAATACACAGACAACTGGATACCTACCACTCACCTCCGAATACAGAGACACCCAGGTACCTACCTATCAGCTCATAATATATAGATACCAAGATACTTACCTCTCACCTCATCCTAATACACAGAGACCGGGATACTTACCTCTCACCTCATCGTAATACACAGAGACCAGGGTACTTACCTCTCACCTCCTCCAAATACACAGAGACCGGGATACTTACCTCTCACCTTCTCCTAATACACAGAGACCTCAATACTTACCCCACCTCCTTCTAATACACAGAGACTGTGATAGTTACCTCTCACCTCATCCTAATACACAGAAACCAGGATACTTACCTCTCACCTCCTCCTAATACACAGAGACCGGGATACTTACCTCTCACCTCCTCCTAATACACAGAGACCGAGATACTTACCTCTCACCTCCTCCTAATACACAGAGACCGGGATACTTACCTCTCACCTCCTCCTAATACACAGAGAGCAGGATACTTACCTCTCACCTCCTCCTAATACACAGAGACCTCAATACTTACCTCTCAGATTCTCCTAATACACAGAGACCAGGATACTTACCTCTCACCTCTTCCTAATACACAGAGAGCAGGATACTTACCTCTCACCTCCTCCTAATACACAGAGACCGGGATACTTACCTCTCACCTCCTCCTAATACACAGAGAGCAGGATACTTACCTCTCACCTCCTCCTAATACACAGAGACCGGGATACTTACCTCTCAGCTCCTCCTAATACAAAGAGACCGGGATACTTACCTCTCACCTCCTCCTAATACAAAGAAACCGGGATACTTACCTCTCACCTCATCCTAATACACAGAGACCAGGATACTTACCTCTCACCTCCTCCTAATACACAGAGACCAGGATACTTACCTCTCAGCTCCTCCTAATACACAGAGACCAGGATACTTACCTCTCAGCTACTACTAATACACAGAGACCAGAATACTTACCTCTCAGATCCTCCTAATACACAGAGACCAGGATACTTACCTCTCAGCTCCTCCTAATACACAGAGACCGGGATACTTATCTCTCACCTTCTCCTAATACAGAGAGACCAGGATACTTACCTCTCACCTCCTCCAAATACACAGAGACCAGGATACTTACCTCTCACCTCCTCCTAATACATAGAGACCAGAAAACTTACCTCTCACCTCCTTCTAATACACAGAGACCGGGATACTTACCACTCACCTCCTCCTAATACACAGAAACCGGGATACTTACCTCTCACCTCATCCTAATACACAGAGACCAGGATACTTACCTCTCAGCTCCTCCTAATACACAGAGACCAGGATACTTACCTCTCAGCTCCTCCTAATACACAGAGACCGGGATACTTACCTCTCACCTCATCCTAATACACAGAGACTGGGATACTTACCTCTCACCTCATCCTAATACACAGAGACCAGGATACTTACCTCTCACCTCATCCTAATACACAGAGACTGGGATACTTACCTCTCACCTCATCCTAATACACAGAGACTGGGATACTTACCTCTCACCTCATCCTAATACACAGAGACCTGAATACTTACCTCTCAGATTCTCCTAATACACAGAGACCAGGATACTTACCTCTCACCTCTTCCTAATACACAGAGAGCAGGATACTTACCTCTCACCTCCTCCTAATACACAGAGAGCAGGATACTTATCTCTCACCTCCTCCTAATACACAGAGACCGGGATACTTACCTCTCACCTTCTCCTAATACACAGAGACCGCAATACTTACCTCTCAGATCCTCCTAATACACAGAGACCGAAATACTTACCCCACCTCCTCCTAATACAAAGAGACCGGGATACTTACCTCTCACCTCCTCCTAATACAAAGAAACCGGGATACTTACCTCTCACCTCATCCTAATACACAGAGACCAGGATACTTACCTCTCACCTCCTCCTAATACACAGAGACCAGGATACTTACCTCTCAGCTCCTCCTAATACACAGAGACCAGGATACTTACCTCTCAGCTACTCCTAATACACAGAGACCAGAATACTTACCTCTCAGATCCTCCTAATACACAGAGACCAGGATACTTACCTCTCAGCTCCTCCTAATACACAGAGACCGGGATACTTACCTCTCACCTTCTCCTAATACAGAGAGACCAGGATACTTACCTCTCACCTCCTCCAAATACACAGAGACCAGAAAACTTACCTCTCACCTCCTCCTAATACACAGAGACCGGGATACTTACCACTCACCTCCTCCTAATACACAGAAACCGGGATACTTACCTCTCACCTCATCCTAATACACAGAGACCGGGATACTTACCTCTCATCTCATCCTAATACACAGAGACCAGGATACTTACCTCTCAGCTCCTCCTAATACACAGAGACCAGGATGCTTACCTCTCAGCTCCTCCTAATACACAGAGACCAGGATACTTACCTCTCACCTCATCCTAATACACAGAGACTGGGATACTTACCTCTCACCTCATCCTAATACACAGAGACCAGGATACTTACCTCTCAGCTACTCCTAATACACAGAAACCAGGATACTTACCTCTCAGCTCCTCCTAATACACAGAGACCAGGATACTTACCTCTCACCTCCTCCTAATACACAGAGACTAAGGATACTTACCTCTCACCTCCTCCTAATACACAGAGACTAAGGATACTTACCTCTCACCTCCTCCTAATATACAGAGATTGGGATACTTACCTCTCACCTCCTCCTAATATACAGAGATTGGGATACTTACCTCTCACCTCTTCCTAATACACAAAGACTGAGGATACTTACCCCTCACCTCCTCCTAATACACAGAGACCAGAATACTTACCTTTCACCTCCTCCTAATACACAGAGACCAGGATACTTACCTCTCACCTTCTCCTAATACACAGAAACCTGAATACTTACCTCTCAGATCCTCCTAATACACAGAGACCAGGATACTTACCTCTCACCTCTTCCTAATACACAGAGAGCAGGATACTTACCTCTCACCTCCTCCTAATACACAGAGACCAGAATACTTACCTCTCACCTCCTCCTAATACACAGAATCCAGGATACTTACCTCTCACCTCCTCCTAATACACAGAGATCAGAAAACTTACCTCTCACCTCCTCCTAATACACAGAGACCAAAATACTTACCTCACCTCTTTCTAATACACAGAGACTGGGATACTTACCTCTCACTTCATCCTAATACACAGAGACCAGGATACCTCCTCCTAATACACAGAGACCAGGATACTTACCTCTCAGCTACTCCTAATACACAGAGACCAGGATACTTACCTCTCACCTCTTCCTAATACACAGAGAGCAGGATACTTACCTCTCAGCTCCTCCTAATACACAGAGACCAGAATACTTACCTCTCACCTCTTCCTAATACACAGAGAGCAGGATACTTACCTCTCAGCTCCTCCTAATACACAGAGACCAGAATACTTACCTCTCAGCTCCTCCTAATACACAGAGACCAGGATGCTTACCTCTCAGCTCCTCCTAATACACAGAGACCAGGATACTTACCTCTCACCTCTTCCTAATACACAGAGACCAGGATACTTACCTCTCACCTCTTCCTAATACACAGAGAGCAGGATACTTACCTCTCAGCTCCTCCTAATACACAGAGACCAGGATACTTACCTCTCACCTCTTCCTAATACACAGAGAGCAGGATACTTACCTCTCAGCTCCTCCTAATACACAGAGACCAGAATACTTACCTCTCACCTCCTCCTAATACACAGAGACTAAGGATACTTACCTCTAACCTCCTCCTAATACACAGAGACCGGGATACTTACCTCTCACCTCCTCCTAATATACAGAGATTGGGATACTTACCTCTCACCTCCTTCTAATACACAGAGACCACTCACCTCCTCTTAATACACAGAGACTAAGGATACTTACCCCTCACCTCCTCCTAATACACAGAAACCTGAATACTTACCTCTCAGATCCTCCTAATACACAGAGACCAGGATACTTACCTCTCACCTCTTCCTAATACACAGAGAGCAGGATACTTACCTCTCACCTCCTCCTAATACACAGAGACCAGAATACTTACCTCTCACCTCCTCCTAATACACAGAATCCAGGATACTTACCTCTCACCTCCTTCTAATACACAGAGACCAGGATACTTACCTCTCACCTCCTCCTAATACACAGAGACCGGGATACTTACCTCTCACCTCCTCCTAATACACAGAGACCGGGATATTTACCTCTCACCTCCTCCTAATACACAGAGACCAGGATACTTACCTCTCACCTCCTCCTAATACACAGAGACCAGAAAACTTACCTCTCACCTCCTCCTAATACACAGAGACCAGAATACTTACCTCTCACCTCTTTCTAATACACAGAGACTGGGATACTTACCTCTCACCTCATCCTAATACACAGAGACCAGGATACTTACCTCTCAGCTACTCCTAATACACAGAGACCATGATACTTACCTCTCACCTCTTCCTAATACACAGAGAGCAGGATACTTACCTCTCACCTCCTCCTAATACACAGAGACCAGAATACTTACCTCTCACCTCCTCCTAATACACAGAGACTAAGGATACTTACCTCTAACCTCCTCCTAATACAGAGAGACCGGGATACTTACCTCTCACCTCCTCCTAATATACAGAGATTGGGATACTTACCTCTCACCTCCTTCTAATACACAGAGACCACTCACCTCCTCTTAATACACAGAGACTAGGGATACTTACCCCTCACCTCCTCCTAATACACAGAGACCAGAATACTTACCTCTCACCTCCTTCTAATACACAGAGACCACTCACCTCCTCCTAATAGACAGAAACCAAGATACTTACCTCTCACCTCCTCCTAATACACAGAGACCAGGACACTTACCTCTAATCTCCTCCTAATACAGAGCAACCGGAATACAAATCTCTCACCTCCTCTTAATATACAGAGGCCAGAATACTTACCTATCAACTTCTCTTCATACACAGATACATACCTATCAGATTCTCCTAATACACATAGACAAGGGTACTAACCTACCAATACCTCCTAATACACAGAGACCATGATACATACCTCTCAGATTCTCCTAATACACATAGACAAGGGTACTAACCTACCAATACCTCCTAATACACAGAGGCCATGATACATACCTCTCAGATTCTCTTAATACACAGAGACAAGGGTACTAACCTACCAATACCTCCTAATACACAGAGACCATGATACTTACCTCTCACCTCCTCCTAATAGACAGAGACCGGAATACTTACCTCTCAGCTCCTCCTAATACACAGACACTGGGATACTTACCTCTCACTTAATACACAGACACCGGGATACATACCTCTTACCTCCTACTACAAATAAAATATGTATGTGCCCCTTTTCCTTTGCATGCATACCTTTTACCTCCTCCTAATATATCTCTAAGCTCTCTATGGACAGTTAGCTATGTATCATAAAGTACTGAGCCTCCAGTACACTGCTATAATAATGGGTATTATTATTTGAGTCAGGGATTAGATTTGGTTCCCCATGTTAGTTATGTGTGATTCCACTGGTTGGAACAGACATGTCACATTTGTCCAGGCCTGGGGCTGCTGCCCATAATAGATTCTTTACTGCAGCATGACTCCTTCTCCCATAGAAATGGAGACCCTTATATTTACATTTAAGAATCGGTTGCCATGTTGATTTTACTATTAAAAAATAGATCTCCGAGCTAGCTGAATATGTATAATTTGGGATCCTGAATGTCCCTCTCCATAAGATCGGTTTCATCATGGACTTCATTTACTGGCAAAGGACCAATTACTGACTTTGGACCAAACTTGATCATTATAGGCCTCTTTTTTTAGGAAGAAAATTCAAACTTCTTAGTGTTGGAGGTATTAAATATCATGCGTGGTTTCTCATTGGTTAAACTTTTTCAGTCCTAAGGAGCACTGAGAATATTAACATCCTTTTAAAAAAGTCATGGATTCTCCTAAATCCAACGCCAATTATCTGACCTAACAATGAGACCAGTCAGAAAAGGTACCTCTGACCGAGGGTCTTATTCTCTGGGAAGACACACTAACGTCTTACGATGAGTGCCATATATTTCTATTCTATTTATTAATGTGTGTAAAGTATATCTCTTAGTTTAGCATCAGGTGGGCATCCATAATATGTTACAAGACAAGAGCTTTCCTCTAACTCATATTGTTAAATTCAGGTGGTTTATGATTTACCATCTTGCGTTGTACAGAATTGTCCTTTTTAGACATGTAGAAAAAATAGTTTGAGCTGGTTTGTCCAAATCATATTCCTGGCAATCGTCGAACCAATCAATTCTGAATCGTTTTGGCTGTGTATTACCTGTACAGGTAAGATTGATCCGAATCGTTTTGGCTGTGTATTGCCTGTACAGGTAAGATTGATCCGAATCGTTTTGCCTGTGTATTGCCTGTACAGGTAAGATTGATCCGAATCGTTTTGCCTGTGTATTGCCTGTACAGGTAAGATTGATCCGAATCGTTTTGGCTGTGTATTACCTGTACAGGTAAGATTGATCCGAATCGTTTTGGCTGTGTATTACCTGTACAGGTAAGATTGATCCGAATCGTTTTGGCTGTGTATTACCTGTATAGGTAAGATTGATCTGGAGATTGTGAATCGATCTGTTTCGTTATTGACTAAGAGGAATTTTAATCAGACAAATAAAAATTTTAGTCTACTCAGTTTTGAGATTATATTGAAGGAACTATCAGAAATGTCAAAAAAAATGACTAGCTTATTTTTAATTTTAAACATATATTATCAGTAAAATCCCAATACCGAATAATACTAAAGTTTGATCATCTAGAGAGAAGCAAACCCCCCTCACAAAATCTCCTATTTTCCCCCTAAATAATGACACTTATTTGCCAATTCACCAAAATAGAAGTTGATAATGAAATACTAGCTCTCCAGCTGTGAATGCTTTCCTGACAATAGTTTCCTGACACATTCTCAATAATTCCAGCAATTAATTCCATCGTGCTTCTTCTCTAAAAATGTAGAATTTATTCTGTTTGTTTGACCAGACCCCCTGTGTGTGATGATCCAGACCCCCGTGTGTGATGATCCAGACCCCCTGTGTGTGATGATCCAGACCCCCGTGTGTGATCCAGACCCCCCCGTGTGTAATGATCCTGACCTCCCCGTGTGTGATGATCCAGACCCCCTGTGTGTGATGATCCAGACCCCTCATGTGTGATGATCCAGACCCCTCATGTGTGATGATCCAGACCCCCCATGTGTGATGATCCAGACCCCATGTGTGTGATGATCCAGACCCCATGTGTGTGATGATCCAGACCCCATGTGTGTGATGATCCAGAGCCTCATGTGTGTGATGATCCAGACCCCCATGTGTGATGATCCAGACCCCCGTGTGTGATGATCCAGACCCCCCATGTGTGATGATCCAGACCCCCCATGTGTGATGATCCAGACCCCCTTTGTGTGATGATCCAGATCCCCTTTGTGTGATGATCCAGGGCAGGGGTAGGCAACGTTCAGTACTCCAGATGTTGTGGACTAGATCTCCCCTGGTGCATTGCCACCGTTAAGGTTGTAAGAGCATTATGGGAGATGTAGTCCACAACATCTGGAGTGTCACAGTTCAGGGCCGCTATCAGAGCATGACAACCATGACGGTTATCACCAGGGCCCTCTCTGCCCGTGCGGTCCCCTGGCAGCCTGTATAGTGAAGGCTCAACACATGTGATCTTTAGCATCTAGAAACTCTCTTCAACTCGCGAGCCTCCTGCCACTACACACATCAACCACTACACATACATACTGCATCCACTACACACACTGCATCCACTACACACACACATTGCATCCACTACACACATTGCATCCACTACACACACACATTGCATCCACTACACACAAATTGCATCCACTACACACACACACTGCATCCACTACACACATTGCATCCACTACACACACACTGCATCCACTACACACACACACACTGCATCCACCACATACACACACACTGCATCCACTACACACAAAGATTGCATCCACTACACACACACATTGAATCCACTACACACACACATTGAATCCACTACACACACACATTGCATCCACTGCACACACAGATTGCATCCACTACACACACAGATTGCATCCACTACACACACACACATTGCATCCACTACACACACACACACATTGCATCCACTAAACACACACACACACATTGCATCCACTAAACACACACACACATTGAATCCACTACACACACACACACATTGAATCCACTACACACACACATTGCATCCACTACACACATTGCATCCACTACACACACACATTGCATCCACTACACACACACACACATTGCATCCACTACACACACACACACTGCATCCACTACACACACACTGCATCCACTACACACACTGCATCCACTACACACATTGCATCCACTACACAGATTGCATCCACTACACACACAGATTGCATCCACTACACACACACATTGCATTCACTACACACACACACTGCATCCACTACACACACACTGCATCCACTACACACACACATTGCATCCACTACACACACACATTGCATCCACTACACACACACATTGAATCCACTACACACACACATTGCATCCACTACACACACAGATTGCATCCACTACACACACACACTGCATCCACTACACACACACTGCATCCACTACAAAAACACATACACTGTAACCACTATTCAAGTACACTGCATCCTTGTGGGTGGACTCAGGGCTGGACACTGTGGGCAGATTTAGGGGTGGCCCCTGTGGGCAGACTCGGGGTTGTACTGTAGAAATCACGAATCACTGCCCTTTTCTAGAGCCATACCTTTACCTTGGTCACTGGTCCTTATGGAATGTTTTACATGAATCCCGACCTCATATATCCCAAATGATCAAACTTATTTCTCAGGAAATTTCATGGTAAAGGACCACTATAGTGCCAGGAAAACAAACTACCTAATACACAGAGACCGGGATACTTACCTCTCACCTCCTCCTAATACACAGAGACCAGGATACTTACCTCTCACCTCCTTCTAATACACAGAGACCACTCACCTCCTCCTAATACACAGAAACCAGAATACTTACCTCTCACCTCATCCTAATACACAGAGACCAGGATACTTACCTCTCAGCTCCTCCTAATACACAGAGACCAGGATACTTACCTCTCACCTCATCCTAATACACAGAAACCAGAATACTTACCTCTCACCTCATCCTAATACACAGAGACCAGGATACTTACCTCTCAGCTCCTCCTAATACACAGAAACCAGAATACTTACCTCTCACCTCATCCTAATACACAGAGACCAGGATACTTACCTCTCAGCTCCTCCTAATACACAGAGACTGGGATACTTACTTCTCACCTCCTTCTAATTCACAGAAACCAGAATACTTACCTCTCACCTCATCCTAATACACAGAGACCAGGATACTTACCTCTCAGCTCCTCCTAATACACAGAGACCAGGATACTTACCTCTCACCTCCTCCTAATACACAGAGACCAGGATACTTACTTCTCACCTCCTTCTAATACACAGAAACCAGAATACTTACCTCTCACCTCCTCCTAATACACAGAGACCAGAATACTTACCTTTCACCTCCTCCTAATGGAAATCACAGTGAGAAGCGCGGAAGCGCCTCTAGCGGCTGTCAATGAGACAGCCACAAGAGGCTGGATTAACCCTAATGTAAACATAGCAGTTTCTCTGAAACTGCTATGTTTACAGCTGCTGGTTTAAAACTAGAGGGACCTGGTCTGGGTGCCTTTAGGGGTCCTTTAAGCCAAAATTGCCAAATTTTTTACAATTTTTCAAGCAAGCAATGTTTTTCATTCAGCTTTTTCTTTTTTACATGTGAAATTCACATTGAATGTATTTAGTATACCTTATGTTCCACACTTTATTGAATAGTACTGTCTGCGATTTCCATGATATTTATGGGGTGTAATTATACAGTGGGGGATTTGCTGTGCATGTACACAGTTTATGGAACTCAAACCCAGAGTGTCCGAGTCCAGTCCTGCTATTCCGTGCATGGAAAGATTACGACCTTACAGGGTCCTTGGCGGGTTACCAGTATTAGGCCCCTTCTTGCTTAACATAGAGAAAGTGGACAGAGCCAAGCAAATTTATGGTTCCAAGGCCCCTGTTAAACCACTGGGCACTAGGCGACTGCCTACGGTCCCCTTATGGTTAATTCTGCTCTGATTTTATGCTATAACTTAGCTCAAACTGCTACCAAACTGCTCAGACTGCTACCATGTCTTCAATGTTCCACTGAACATTCTCTTGAAAATATAATAGCCAGATAGCACACAAACCAACACACGCCTGTTACCCTATGGAGAGCATTGTAAATGGGATTGTACCCTTGGAACACAATGTATCTCCTAGGTTACAATCCACTCTAATATTCCCATCACATGACCACTGCTCCTGGCCAATACCCACAGCTGATATTTCATTAAGGTCAGGGCAGAGAGCATCGTTATTAGGGGGATAATTAAGTCATCGAAGCAGGGACTCATTTAATGTATAGATTGCTTAATGTAGACTCAGCTCCCCCAGTGCAGCCATCATGCCTCAGGCTCCTGTGCCAGCTATACACCAGCTCTTTACTGCAGCTCTGCACCCGGTTATTAGACGTGAAATCAGGTTGTATTCTTCAGCTATGACCTCATCTTGCCTTTCATTCATAGGCTTGCTTCCATTCAACCCTGCACAGGAAATGTATCATTACCATAAAATTCAGCTCTGCCGTGCCTTGCTCGTTTAAAATGACTAATTACAAAGCAGACGCACTGGGTTTAGCTTATGGTTTTAGCGAGAGGATGGAATCGCTCACCGATATGTCTGATTAACAATCAATCAATATAATTGATTGGTTACGTCAGCGTCGCATAGATAGAGGTCAATAGATTTGTTTTATCAGCTTCTCAAATTTGCATCTGACCCCGTAGATCTGGTACTCAGCACCATTATGTCACATGTCAGTGCCTTGGGTACAAATATTGCGCGTTAGTCCAAATCAGTTTATTGTAGTGGTTATGGTGTATTTATCTATATATTTATAGATTGAATAATCAGAATGTACTCAGATCCAGATCTCAAAGCCTATCCGTGCTGTGCTATTTCCACAGATAATGAGGAAATTAAACTGCTCATTATTTGAACAGCAGGAAAGGAAATGACTTTTGGTGGGTAAAGAGATACATTTACTGTCAAATTTCTCGCAATCAGTTTGATACAAATCAACAATACTGCACCTAAATATTTCTTGCACCTTAACAACTACAATAAGCTGTAATAATACAACAAGCTGTAATAGGGCAACATGCTGTAACAATAGGCGTTGTAATGATTCAATAGTTTGTAAAACTGAAAAACTGTAATCAAACAACAAGTTGTTAAAATGCAATAAGCTGTAATAATACAGTAAACTCCATTAATGCAATAAACTCTAATGATACAATAAGCTGTAATAATGCAATAAGCTTAAAGGGACACTATAGTCACCAGAACAACTACAGCTTATTGAATTTGTTCTGGTGAGTAGAATCATTACCTTCAGGCATTTTGCTGTAAACACTGTCTTTTCAGAGAAAATGCAGTGTTTATATTACAGCCTAGGGATACCTCCACTGGCCACGTCTTAGATGGCTGCTAGATGTGCTTCCTGTGGCAGTACTGCACAGTGTGACTGACATTGGTGTCTCCTCTCTCCATTAATTCGATGTATCTCTATGAGGAGATGCTGATTGGCCAGGGATGTGTTTGGTTTGTGCTGGCTCTGCCCCTGATCTGCTTCCGTCACAGTGTCAGCCAATCCTATGGGGAAATATTGTAATTGACTGATGAGAAGTCTTTGCAATGAAGGTGCTGTGGGCAATTAGTGCCTCTTGAGGTCAGCTGCAATGAGCTATCCAAACCAGGAAGTAACAGGACTTGTCTGATAGACAGCCAGGGGGAGTGTAACAAGGCTAATTTATAAAAGTGTAAAATTCTATGGAAATCTGTGCTTTTAGAAATACAATAAACAGAGGATGCACTCTTCACACACAAAGCACCTCACCAAGCTAAAGTGCTACAGGGATCTGGAGTGTGTCTTTAATATGTTTACATTTTACTATCACTTAAAGGGACAGTTTCGTCATATTAAGGCACCATGACAATTAATTTAAATGATGCACTCCTACCTTCAGGAGGTTAAACTGTGTTCGAATAGTTTAACTCTGAAGTTGCCTTCAGCGCTGTTTTCAGTTCTCCCCCCTCAATCCCCCCAATTTTACTTACAGGAAGCGAGGAGTGACGCCGGACAGGGGTGCCACTGATTGGCTGAGAGCAGTTAGATGACCCTGGAAGGTAAGAATGCCTCAGGGGGCCTCTGTGCACCATAACAACTTCATTTAGATGAAGTTGTTTTAGTGCCTGGAGTGTTCCTTGAATTTAAAATGAACTAGTAACATCCACATGTATTTTAAACGAGTCACTGACCTGGAATTTACAAAGTAATTTTTGTCCATATCTTACTTAATATATCACATTGACTTATGACAATAAAGAGTTTGAAAATAAAATGAACTGGCCACAGAAAAATTATTTTATGATAATCGATTTTTCACAAAAAATGTTTGTGTGGTTTATTCACTAAACTAATAATTGTAGTGACTTGAAAGCCAAATTGCAAAATTTAGGGGAAAATGCTGATTTGGACACATTCTCAATCTCAAAAACAGCTATAGTCACAGCTCAGTTAATATAGTCTAAGCTTTGCCGCTGTTCTGTTTTCAGTTCATTACATTTTGGAGTTTAGACAATAAAACACTATATTGTACATCAGACAGTTAGTAAATTCTAGTAATGGACCATTTGAAAGTATATAAACTACGTTATAACTTTAACCATATAACCATTGATACTTAAAGGAGCACAATAGTGTCACGAATACATGTATTCCTGACATTATAGTTCTAAATGCACCATTTAGCTCCCCATCCTCCCCTCTCCCTCCCGACCCCCCTCCCCTCCGCCCCCAAACCTGTTAAAAAGGGGACAAGGAGTTTACCTTACGCAGGTTTCTTTGTGGTTCCCCCCGCCCTCGCTCTCCCTCCTTGGCTAAGATCATTACATTTGAGTAGGACCAATAGGGACGGAACACATTAAGGGTTAACTCCCCACCCTCCCTTATCACAGCCGGCTTAGAGTAGTTTGTCCTCCTGCTGTGCGGGATGCAAAGACAGGATTGGTTAAAGGCAGAAAGCAAGTAGGAGGAATAAAGGTAAGATAAGGAAAGGTGTGGTATGTTTTGTATCATTAACCTTTTGTTTTTTGTACTTACATAGGAAAGGACTGGGAGGCTATTGCGCATGTGTGATAAAACGCAACGCTTGGCCAATCAGCCTCTCCTCGTAGAGATGCATTGAGTCAGTGCATCTCTATGGGGAACGTTCCGTGTCTCCTGACCCAGGAGGCACCTCTAGTGGCCATCTGAGTGAATGCAACTGGAGGTGTTACTAAGCAGCAATGTGAACATTGCCTTCCCTTCCTCATTAAAAGGCCTGCATGGATAAGCTGTGGACACCAGATCTACTGCATTAAGTTGTAGTTGTTCGCGTAACTATATTGTTCCTTTAAGGCTACATGGGCAATGTAGAGCACCAACACCTGCAGTGCCAGAGATTGCCACCTCATAGCTAAGCCACAGTGACCCCGCCGAAAATCACAGGAATTGGAACCTAGTGTGAGGTTTATAGATGATGTTTATTTCTTGAGTGTCTGTTAATACGGATCAATTATCTTAATCATGTGTGTAATCATCAGAATTAACAGATCCACTCCTTGTCATTAGTCATTTTACTGCCAGTCAGATACTTAGTTACAGAGAACTTTAGATCCAAGCACAGTTTAACACTAAGTTAACTTGGAAAACTGATACTGTTAGTGTTAGTGTGCGTGTTAAGGTAGTGTAGGGGGTAATGATGTTACTGTGCTCTAAGTGTTAATGTCTGGTGTTAGTGTAGTGGTTAGCGTTTAGTGATAATGTTAATGTAATATACAGATCATGTTGGTAGTGTTAGTGTTAGTGTAGTGGTTGGCATTTAATGATAATGTTAATGTAATGTGCGGATCATGTTGGTAGTGTAGTGTAGTGGTTAGCGTTTAATGCTAATGTTAATGTAATGTATGGATCATATTGGTAGTGTAGGGGGTAATAATGTTACTGTGCTCTAAGTGTTAATGTCTAGTGTTAGTGTTAGTGTAGTGGTTAGCGTTTAGTGATAATGTTAATGTAATGTACGTGTCATATTGGTAGTGTAGTGCAGGGGTAGGCAACCTTCGGCACCCCAGATGTTGTGCACTATATCTCCCACAATGCTATTAGAACCATAATGCTGGCAATGCATCAGGGGACACAGAGTCCACAACATCTGGAGTGCTGAAAGTTGCCTACCCATGATGTAGTGTATGGGTCAATGTGCCGTGTGTTAGGGTAATGCAAGAGTTAAGGGCAGGACATTACTGTAAAGGTAGCGCTGGGATGTCGCAGTGCAGGTTGGGTTTATTGGGAGTTACAGTCATGGATGGCAGCTATTTCAGATGCCGTCTTTAAAGTGGAAGCAGGTTCTGCTCGAGGGTGTAACTCCCACAAGTCTCCGGGACATGTATATCTTGATGAATTATGACATATTTTGAATATGACATATAAGACATATTTTTAATTTGTAAACTGATTGAGGCATTCCCTGTGAGAAGCTGGCCGCAGTTTGTTTGTTTGTTTGTTTGTGAGAAGCTGGCCACTGTTTGTTTGTTTGTCTGTGAGAAGCTGGCCGCTGTTTGTTTGTTTGTGAGAAGCTGGCCACTGTTTGTTTGTTTGTCTGTGAGAAGCTGGCCGCTGTTTGTTTGTTTGTCTGTGAGAAGATAGTCGCTGTTTGTTTGTTTGTCTGTGAGAAGATGGTCGCTGTTTGTTTGTTTGTCTGTGAGAAGCTGGCCGCTGTTTGTTTGTTTGTCTGTGAGAAGATGGTCACTGTTTGTTTTTTTTTTGTTTTTTTTAAACTTTTTTATTGAGGTATTAAAAGCATTACAATGATGTCAGCAGCACAGTGTAGTTAACAAAACAACAGGTTCTTTTGCAGGCACAAGAGTCTCAACGTTATTGATATTGGGGCGAGAACAGAGAAGTTCCCACTTTTTGTGTTGCAAGGGGGGGGGGGGTTTGGTGTGATAAGGTGGGTTACATACGGCTTTGATGTCTTATACCCTAGCAGTGCAATAAGGGAGGTATGCCAGAGTACACTGCATGATAACGAGTGCGTGGTGTGGGATGGTGCTCCAGCTGGTCATCGGGCATTGTGTGTAGGCGCACACTGTTATCTTGTGGCTAGAGTAGAGCAATGGTGCATGGGTGAGGGCACTGGATGGTGGCATGTTCAGGTGCCTAGCAGTTTGGATAGTCTATACGGCGTATCAGCCTGGAGGGTGGGTTATGCGCGAGGGAAGACAGGGGTTTAGGTCTAGCTGGGGAAGTGGTGTCAGGCAATTTGTCCCTGCTTTCCTTGGAGGAATTGGAGCCAGGGGGTCCATGTAGTGAGGTATTCGTCATATTTGAGAGTGAAGGAGTAGGAAAGTTCCTCCATTGTTCTGATAGAGTCAACCCTGGCGATCCAGGCTCTGATAGTTGGGGCTGTAGTCTGTTTCCACATTGTGGGGATTAGAGCGTTGGCAGCCGTTAGGAGGTGGTTGAGTAGGATGCGATTGTGCTTGGTCAGTGGTTGGGGGTATGATAGGAATAGCATGGTTTCAGGGGTGTGGGGGAGGCGTACGCCAGTGATGGTGCGTATGAGGTTGGCCATCTGTCTCCAGTAATCCTGGATTACGGGGCAGAGCCACCAGATGTGTCCTGAGGTTCCCTCAGTTTGTTTGCATCTCCAACATGTTTTGGGTGTGTTAGGGAAGAATCTGTTGATGCGAGTCGGCGTGTAGTGCCATTTAGCAACTCTCTTGTAGTTGCTTTCGTGGGTGCTATTGCTCTTGGACGTGTGGAATATGTTATGGAAGATTTTGTGCCAATTTTTAGCCGGTATTTGAGTGGACAGTTCTTTGTCCCAGTGTGTGGTGTAGGTTGGCAGGATTTCGTCTTGGCTGTGGCGGATCGTTTTGTAGAAGGATGAGATTAGTCCTTTACGTAGTGTGTGGTGGGAGCATAATATTTTGAAAGGTGTGGGATTTCTGTGTCCCTGGAGGAGTATGGGGTCTGAGTGTAGGAAGTGTGTAATTTGCGCGTATCTAAACCTAAGCATGCTAGAGGGTTCGGCATTGGGGGTGAGGTCCTCAAGTGGGATGATCCCTTTGTCGTTGCGAACATCTCCTAGGGTGAGTGTGTGGGTTTGTTTAGGAAAGCTTTGGAGAGCGATTGGGTTAGAGCCTGGCAGGAAGGCTGGATTGTCGGTTAGTGGGTAGAGCGGGGACGGGTGTGGAGCTATATGTTGGTCCCCCCTTATGTTGTGCCAGGTACGTAGGGTATGAGGGATTGTTGGGTGTAACTCTGAGTTGTGTGTTGTGATGATGGGCTTTTTTCCTAGCCAGGGTGCCAGGTGTATTGATGATGAGAAGAAGCTGGCTTCAATCTTTACCCATTGTGTGTCGTTGTGGGGATGTGCCCATTCGTAAATTCGTGTAAGTGTGATAGCCTTGTGGTAAGCCTCCAGGTCTGGGAGACCTAGGCCCCCTCTCTGTTTACTTTTGGTGAGGCAGTCATATCGGAGTCTGGGGGGGTTGTCGGCCCATATGAATGTTGTAAACGTCCGCTTAGCTTGGGCAAAGAATGAGGTAGGAATTTTGATGGGGAGGGTTTGTAGCAGGTAGAGAAGTTTGGGGAGTACATTCATTTTGAGGATGTGGGTCCTGCAGAGCCATCCAAATTGTGGCCTGTTCCAGGCCTTAAGGTCTGCCGCAATCTTGGCAAGGAGAGGGGGAAAATTGATGTCGTATGTGCGGTCTAGGGAGGTAGTGAGGTGGACTCCAAGGTATTTGACCGAATCTGAGGGCCATTGGAATGGATATGTGTTGCGGAGTAGTGATCGGGTGGGATATGTTAAGGGGGAGTATCTCGCTTTTGCTAACATTGATTTTGTAGTTGGAGACTTGGTGGTATAGGTCGATTTGTTGCATGAGGTGGGTCAGTGATGTCGTCGGGTTTGAGATTGTGAACAGAAGGTCGTCAGCAAATGCTGTGACCTTGAATTCACTTCGTGCTATTGTGAGGCCTGTTATATCGGGGCAATCCCTAATTCCCTGCAGAAATGGTTCCATTGTGAGAATAAATAACAGGGGGGATAGGGGGCATCCTTGTCTCGTGCCGTTTGTTATTTGAAATACGTCCGAAAGTTGGCCATTAACCCTGATCCGTGCTCCTGGTTTGGAGTAAATGGCTGAGAGCCACTTGCTCCAGTTTGGGCCGAAGCCTAGCGCTTGTAATGTCAGTTTAAGCATAGTCCAGTCCACCCTGTCGAATGCCTTTTCGGCATCTATGGTAAGTATGAGGCTTTGGGCTTGCGCCGATTTGGCGGCGTAGATGAGGCTAAGCAATTTCGTTGTATTGTTTTTAGCCTCGCGGCCGGGCACAAAACCGGATTGATCGGGGTGGATTAGCCCCTTGAGTAGCGGTTGGAGTCGTTCGGCTAGGATCTTTGTGAAAATCTTAAGGTCCCCGTTAATCAGAGAAATGGGGCGGTAGCTCCCACATTCTTCGGGGTCTTTCCCCGGTTTGTGTATGAGGGTGATGTGGGCTTCTAGGGATTCGGTGGGGAGATTGTGCCCGGATGTAAGGGCGTTAAATGCGGTTACAAATGGAGTTTTAAGGACACTGGCGAACGCTTTATAGTATTTGGCTGTGAAGCCGTCCGGTCCTGGGCTTTTCCCTAAGGGGAGTCGTTTAACTACTGTCGTGAATTCTTCAGGTGTCAGGGGGCTGTCGAAGGTTTGTCTGATATTCGGGGGGATAGTATGGGTGATCCTCGTGGCTAGGAAGTTGGTTACATCCTCACCTGAGGGCGGGGTTAGTCTCAGGTTGTACAGGCCTGTGTAAAAGGTATGGAATTCCTTAAGTATGTTTGGAAGGAGGTGCGTGCGAGTGCCATCTTTTTGTTTGATCGTGGTGATGTATGTCCGTTGGTTGGTTTGTTGGAGAGCTCTCGCTAGTAGCCTACCGCATTTTCCTCCTTGTGTGTAATAGGTGTGTTTGGTGCGAAGCAGCGTTCGTTTGACCTTGGAGTTAAGAAGTGTTTGCAGTGTCGTGCGTTTGTCCACTAGTTGTTTGTATGTGTCTAGGGACATGGTTTGTTTGTGGGTTTGTTCTAATTGGCGTATGTCCACTAGTAGGTCAGCTGTCTGCGCTTCTCTCTGTTTTTTGAGTTTGGAAGCTAGCGCTATGATGTGGCCTCTAATTACCGCTTTGTGGGCCTCCCAAATGATTGGTGGGGGGGAGACTGTGGGTTTATTTTCTTCGAAGTAGTGCTGTAATGCGTCAGTGAGTGATGTAATGATGGTTGGGTCGTTTAGTAGGGTGTCATTCAGTTTCCATTGGTTGCGGTTGGGTGTCAATGAGGGGATCTGAACAACCAGTGACAAAGGTGCATGGTCCGACCAGGTGATGGGGCCGTAGTTACTGGACTGGATTAAGTGTAGGTGTCTGTGGTGGAGAAAGAGCATATCTAGTCTAGAATAGGTGTGTTTTACCGAGGAGTAGTAAGAGTAATCCTTGGTGTGTGGGTGGGTGATTCTCCAGCTGTCAAATAGGCAGGCTTTGTCTAGTAATTGAGTCATCCTGAGTCTGGTATGGGCGTTGTACGATGTGGACATGGATGTGGTGTCTAGGTTCGAGTCCAGGGACATGTTTAGATCCCCTCCCATTATCAGGATACCTTCCATGTGTTTTTCAATTTTGGTAATGTATTATGACATGTGCGTGCCTTGTTTGGCGTTAGGTAGATACATGTTGGCAAATGTCACCACAGTGTTGCCTATCTTCCCTTTCACTATGAGGAGCCTGCCGTTGGGGTCCTCATGGTGGCTTATGTGAGTGTAGGGTACATGTGAGCCTATAAGGATGGCTACCCCTCTAGTCTTGGCCTCTTTATAGCACCCATAGTATCCTGTGGGGTAGTGACGGTTACGAATTGTGATGGTTGAGCCCATTTTAAGGTGAGTCTCTTGGAGGAAAGCTACGTCTGCCTTTAGGTTGCGTAGCTCTCGGAGGGTCAGCGCTCTTTTCATGGGAGAATTGAGGCCCCTGACGTTGAGGGTGACTATTGTAAGGTTGGCCATGTTGGCTGCAGGGGGGGGTGTCATGTTGTGGTGGTCTTGAGTGGGTATGTAGCAGTCAGAACGAGGTAAGAACAGTAACAATATAACAGTGAAAGAAACTATATACAGAGCAGCTCTGATACTTGCAGAGCTGGAAGTTGGGGTATTTTGAAATGTGGAGTCAGTCAGCCTTGGTTGACGGTGGCTTTCCCTTTGGTGGCTATTAAGTCCAGGGGAAGTTGAGTCGGCACCGCTAAGGCTTTAGGTGACTCTCCACTTAGTTGTGGGGTAACCGAATTAGTTCAGTGTGGGGGGGATTTGGTGATGTATCGGTACGTCTTTCCATAGGGAGAGACGGGCAATCCATGGTATGCTATATGGTAATTTGGATTGGTAAATCGGGCTAGGAGGTATGTATAGTTTATGGGACCATTCGGTGCGTATCGGACGCATTGGGCGTGGGCGCTGGGGCGCTCAATGGCCAGGGTCGGAGTGGCTCATCAGGGCCGGTCCGGTACCTGAGTCATAGTTAGTGCGCGAGTGCCATCTTCCAACTCTGCAAAGGCTTAGGATTTCCAGCACAGTAGTGTGGTTAGGGTATCAGCACATAAGACATTAGGAACATACTCATAAAACAGTCATCATAGTTCCTTCAGATATTGCGCAATTCGGTTCAACTCCACCCAGAAGCACGCTAGAAGCCTGTCAAGCCTCGGGAAGGGTTGAAGCCGAGCACGGTGTTATGGTTAGGGTGTCAGCATAAAAAAACATTTGGAACATACTCATAAAACAGTCATCATAGTTCCTTCAGACATCATGCAGTTCGGTATGCTGTTCGGTTCGACTCCACCCAGAAGCACGCGAGAAACCCGTCATGCTTCGGGAAGGGTCGAAGCACAGCCCGTTATTATGGTTAGGGTAGCAGCACAAAGAACGTTTGGAACATACTCATAAAACAGTCATCATAGTTCCTTCCAGACATAATGCAATTCAGTTTAACTCTACCCAGAAACATACCAGAAGCCTGTCAAGCCTCGGGAGGGGTTGGAGGATGGGGGGAGGGGATAGAGAGGGCTGGGAGGGGAAGGGGTGTCTGAAGGTGAGGAGGGTGAAGGGGGGGTAAGGGGTTAGAGGAGGCAAGATGTGCTCAAACATTGTAAACCAGCTGGGAAGTAAGATTGATACCCGTCCGCAGGTCTTCTACTGGACTTCCCACCGGCAAGTCATTGCCGTTCAGGATGCAGAGTACCTAAAGTTTGTGGGATCGTGTGTAGGAGTTCGTACCGCGGCTGAGGTTAAGTCCTGGATTCATAGTAGAGGCAGTACGATGAAAAAGTGGAGTTCGGTGGGATCACTGAAACTGTTACGGAGTTGGGGAGCTGGTTCGTCTGTTGCATCGTTGGGGATGTCAAGATGGTTCTCTTGCAGAGAGTGTGTGAGGGAATCTTGGCTTCCGGGGTAAGGTGAGTTATTATAGTGGCCCATGGTTGTGGGAGTCCAGGGAGGTGTGTGAGGCTTGTTTGTGCTTGTAATCCGAACTGGGCCAGGTTAGATCCGGCAATGAGGTCCGTTTCTTGTCGTCTGTGTTCTCAGGTTGGGTTCTGAAGGGGTAGGTGGCGTCCGATAGCGATGGTATGGGGCGTCCTTTATTGGGCGGGGGGTCCTGTTCTCGGTCTGTGTCCCCCTTGGTGAATGGTTTGGTCGTTGTAGCGCCTCTTCGCTGGGGTTTGTCCTCTCTGTCGTGGGGCACTATGTTGCGGAGGCTGGTGTAATGGTCCATACCAGTCAGGGATATGGACTTCTGGCAGGTCAAGGGCTGAGGTAAACGTTTGTGTGTCTTCGGCTGATGAGAGGGTGGCAGTGACCCCGTTGTGAGTTGCTGTAATGGCGAGGGGGAATCCCCACCTGTAGCGGATATTCCTGGATCTTAGGAGGTCAGTGAGTGGCTTCATGGTCCGTCTTGCTTGGAGAGTCATCCAGGAGAGGTCTGGGTATATCTGTACTGGTCGCCCATGGTACAGCAGTGGTTGGGAGGTCTGGCGGAGGCTCCTTAGGATGTCCTCTTTGATGCTGTAATAGTGCAGTCTGCATATCACATCTCTGGGGGAGTCCCCCCCAGGGCCCCTGGGTTTGAGTGCTCTGTGCGCTCTGTCTAGCAGGATGGGCATTGTTGTGTCTCGTTGGAGGATTAGGTTAAAGAGCTCTTGCAGTGTGGAGTGGAGGTCTTCCCCCTCAGCCTCAGGTAGGCCTTTAACCCTTAGGTTGTTACGGCGCCCTCTATTGTCCAGGTCGTCTAGTGCTCTGTACATAGCAGCCATTTGTGTGTTATGAGCTGTCACTGTACTTTGCAGGGCTTGTAGTTGTGTGCATGTGCAGTCATGTTCGTTTTCTAGGGAGTTAACCCTGTCACTGACCTGTCTTACTTCTGTGGAGATGTCATCCATCTTCTTTTGAAAGGACACTTCAAGTTTCTGCAGCATAGTAGCCAGGTCCTGCTTGGAGGGGAGATTCCTGAGTAGGGCTTTCAGATCTTTGTCCCGATCAATGTCCGACGTGAGAGAGATGCTGTCTGATGCCGCCGGGCTGGAGGGCCCTGAGGAGTGCTCCGCCGGGTCGTCCGGCGCCATATTGGAGCCTGCGGCCTCATTTCGCCGGTCGCCCTGATCCTTGAAAAATTTGGTAAGGTTGCTGGTTTTCGCCACGGAGTGTTTGCCCGCCGTGTTAGGAGCAGTGGAGAGGCGTTTGGGGTGTCCCATGTTGCGGTAGGTGCCCGATGGATGCGGATTGCCCTGAGTCTCTTTCGGAGCTCTGCTAGCAAGCGTCCATTCGCGCTCGCGGTTAGCTCCGCCCCCGTCACTGTTTGTTTGTCTTTGAGAAGCTGGCCGCTGTTTGTTTGTTTGTCTGTGAGAAGATGGTCACTGTTTGTTTGTTTGTCTGTGAGAAGCTGGCCGCTGTTTGTTTGTTTGTCTGTGAGAAGATGGTCACTGTTTGTTTGTCTTTGAGAAGCTGGCCGCTGTTTGTTTGTTTGTCTGTGAGAAGATGGTCACTGTTTGTTTGTCTTTAAGAAGCTGGCCGCTGTTTGTTTGTTTGTCTGTGAGAAGCTGTTGGTTTTGTTTGTCTTAGTTCTGTCTGAGATTAGGGCCTCAGAAACTGTATGGAAGTGATCCGTGCTTTATTAGTCAACATGTACAGTAGCAAGAAAAGATTGCCTTGTCTCGTGATCGCATATTTTTTATAACAATAACTGAGACATTTTTTAAATACCTTGCATCCATTCCGCTTTGCTTTGTAATTACCGTCTTTTTACTTCATGGAGATGGGAACTGGTTTTGTGATTCTTGCTGGGTGCGTGTAGGTACACTATTATTGGAGGGTAAAATCATGGGGTAACACTCCTCCGCACTAGGTGTGGGTGCATGAGATAAGGATTGTTTTTTGCAGTAGTGCGCGGAAAGAGAAACCTGCTCGGCCACAAAGCAGTAAAAAGACCAGAGTTAAACAAAAGCAGAGCTTTAATTTAATAAATTGTAGTTTATTGAAAAACGAATAGCAAAAATAAAACAAATATAGCCCAGCAGTGATAATAGTTAGTTGAAGAATTCTTCCAAATCATCTATTTTTACCCAATTTATAAAGTTCAGGTTTCAATCCTCGGGTTTTATTCAAGTGAAAAATATCACAAAAACCATTCGTTAATAAAGAGTTATCTTGCTGTATTCCATTACCTTAGACCAAATCAAATATGCACTTACAAATACCTCTTAATCAGTACACATCCTTTTCACTAATTTACACATTTTCCCGCACTAAATGACACACTAACACTAATTTACACACTAAACAAAATCACATTAAATTACGTGATTTTATACTATTTAACACTCTGACACTGACACACACACACACACTACTCTCACACACACACTACTCTCACACACAAAATACACAATTTTCACTTCCCCGTCTGCAGCTTAAAGGGGATCGGTCACATTCCAGGATTTTTAATATTATGTTTACTTCTCACTATGTTTATTAATATATAATTGAGAGGTGTGAGAAATAACATTTAATTTAGAAATCCACCCTTCTTTAATATGCAATTGCCCGCCTCCATCTTAGCTCCCTGTCAATCGTTGGAATAAGCTCCACTCTTTGCACCTGGCAGTCAGCACAGAGAGAGAGAGTACAGAGAAGAGGAGAAATGAAACAATTTTTCTATTTCTCTCCCTCGTCTGCAATGTTTACCCCAGTTATTTCCTTGTCTGAAATAGATTGCGATGTCATTTTGCTAAATGTAACTGTTTTAGTATAAACTTAAGGAAAACAGATCATCTCGTTTACAAAGGAAATAGTCATGGGGTTACTTTGTAATCTTTCAACGCCATACCCTGCCTACAGCCCACTATCTGGGTAAATACCTGGGTGGGTGCGGGAAGTTACTTCGCAGATACTCCATGTTTCTAAACTGCTTTTACAGGCACTGGGCAATCGTAAAGTTTAAATTACATCATTAAATAATTACACATCGAGTTCAACTTTTAAGATGGAACTTTTTATGCTGTCGATCCAAATATGGCAAATAACCCCAATTTGAAGTGATTTCCAATTATGTCACAAAAATGGGGGGGAAAATAATTCCTAAATAAGTAATGGCAATCAGATTTAACCTTGGATCAACAAATTACCCTTTCGATCTCTCCCCTTGTTGTAAGAGAGGGTAACCAGACTGAATGAGATGCAAGCTATTATCAGAACCTAATTATCTTTATTAATATTTCATAGATACTGTATATGTAGTTTGTTGGGGGGAAAAAAGTCATTTAAAGTTTGTTTCAGTTTTGTAAAACAAAATCTTTGTTGACTAAAAGGCAATCTGATTTTTCTACAGAACACTTTTTTAAAACGGAGTTTAACTGTTCTGACCCATTAGGTGTGTCTTGACAATCTGGGTAGTCCTGTAACCAGATAGAGCAGCCCAGACATAGCACTCCAAGTTCTGTAACTGTTTAGATCAGATGCTACCATTTACCTTGTTACATGGGCAGAAAAGAGACTTGCGTCCATCAAGTTCAGCCTTACTCACATCTGTTTTTGCTGTTGATCCAAAAGGAGGCAAAAAAACAGTTTGAAGCGCTTCTAATTTAGCAACAAACTAGGAAAAATCTCCTACATTACCCCAAAATGGCAGTCTTATCTCTCATTGGATCAAGAAACTGCTACCCCACAAATTAGAAATTATATCCCTAACTATTATGTTTTTGCAAGTATTTATCCAATTGCTGTTTAAACATCTGTAAAGACTCTGATAAAATCACCTCTTCAGGCAGATAATTCCACATCCTTATTCCAAAACCCCTTTTCTTTGCCTTAGAGTAAATCTTCTTTCTTCCAGTCTAAATGCGTCACCTTGAGTCCTATGTGTGACGGTAGTAACTGGTATCACTGTCTAGTATTCCTTTTCTCAATAGCAGAGTATCGCCTAGCATCCACAGGAATAAATATCGCTGGTATCGCCAAATAATCCACACATGAGCCAAAGCTTAATGCTGGAACAAGACTGATTTAATGGAAGCAACAGGCATTCTATTTATGCAGTACAAGCTCCTCCTCTGGGCCAGGCTAGATAATTGAGTTTCAGCAACATACTAAACTCAATTATCTGCTGGCCAGAAACATTAACAATTTTCAACATTTTTGGAAATATACTTTCTACATGACAAATGAATATAAAAACCACATCCCTCGGTAGCTGGGGATACTGGGAGTAACATATCCAAATTGCACGAAAATCCGTTTGGTAGTTTCCATGTCGCATGGTGCGGAAGTTTGACCGCCTTGCCATGCGGTTGCATCTGATTTAGAGTTCCATGAAATTGGTAGCAAGAGCCGTTCTCTGTTCGTGCTGGATTACACGAAAAACACCATAGTTATACTGCAGCTGGTTACATGAGAATGCTCCCCTTGTTCGGTTGATTGGAACTCCCGAACGCCGGTCTGGTACTGCAAGTGGAAATAGGTCAGACGGGACTTCCATAAAGACCGGGTGTTCGTGTGAGTGCCATGCCGAAAACAGTTCCAGGCACTCGACGAGTAAGTCCCGCTGGCCGCGTTCGGGAGATTTAAGATGGCCGCCATCCTTTGTTCTTGCCACGTGTTCGTATGCCGAATGGCGGCCACCTAGGGGCACTCCTTTGCGTTTTTTTGTGTGCTTACTTGGTGTTCTAAGTTCTGATTGCTACCCAAGGTGGTCTCCGTTCGGTATAACGAATTATTTCCCGGACACATAAATAAAACGAATATTTCAAAGTCACTTAAATGGCAAGGAAAGGAAATAACCGAATGAACACAGATAAATACAGGGAAATCATTTACACTATGTATAGCCCTGTTTATGAATAGATTTCCAGACAATGGTATGTATTGGCCCTGAATATATTTGTATAATGCTATCATATCCCCTCTGAGGGACCATTTTTCCAAACTAAAAAGATTAAAATTTGTTAACCTTTTGTTAAATTAAATTACATTAAATAAGAGTCCCCCAATTACAGCTTCCATGGTTCCTTTGGGCCAGCAACGCATCATGATCATGTGATTTGTAGTTCTGCAAGTTTTGGAGGCCTACCTTTTGGCAGATTTCCCCAAACTAGAACCTTTGTAGTTCTCGCCATGATCAGAGGAAATATTATTACAAAAGGGTAAAGTGGTCTCTGCACAGAGAAATGATATAGTAAGACAGAGACATTGTATCCTCAGGCCACAGACTAATGACTCACAGGAGGCAGGAGCTTGGACCTCCAATGTCACGGATCTTGCCTGCACACCTCCTCGCTGTCATCTTCTATTTTCTGGTTCCAGTGACTGGGGGCGCCAAATCATTTGAGAACAAGAATACAAAATGACAGCAAGAAAAGCGGCAAAGAATAGATCGTGCCATCTCTACTTCTCAGCTAATTAGAACCTAGGAATGCAGGGGAAGGAAAGGTAGGAGGCAATTTATTTATATGTAATAATTCTATAATAAGGGATTGTATACTGACAACTACCTGTGTCACTCACCGTTCCTGGAATACTGAGCCTTTAGCTACAAGTGCAGGAATAGCTGTTTATCAATAGATTTTTATTATGTACAAAGAGAAAAAGCCTGCTTCTATTATAGATATATATATAGAGAGAGAGAGAGAGAGAGAAAGAGAGATGGAGATAGATAGATAGATAAATAGATAGATAATGATAGATAGATAAATATATAAATAGATAGATAATGATAGATAGATAGATAGATAAATAGATAGATAGAATAGGTAGAAACTGATGGATAACTAGGTAATCAGACAGACTGGATGAGTATGAAAATATAAATCACTTGGCTGTGCCAGAATTTGCTTATCTCTCCAAATGCCTTGCCCATTCGCTCCTCTAACTAGTGATATTTGGTACCCTTTTAATTATAATTTGTTAATGTTATTTATTATTTCATATTTGCATTTAACTGAAGAGACATTCCCTAGGATATAAAAATATGAACCATATTGTGTTACATTAGCATTCCTTTTGATAAACAGGTTAGAATAAGCATATTTAGTAAATATATATTCAGAATTCCTGTTTATATCATTTTCTGTCGGTATACATCAATGTGCAGTTAGCAGTCCCATAACTCATGTTGAGAATTGAAAGCTGTAATGAGTGTATGCAGCCAGTACACTCTCTAACAATGGAACCACGTCTTTAATTCAAAATCTATTGAGTTTATAACAACATTACGAAGAAGAAAAAAAGTAATGCAGTGAATGCAACAACAAGAACAACAGTTTCAAACACAAAGGTGGAACTAGGAGCATAGAGAAAGATAAGACCAATGGAAGTTGTGATACCAGATGAGGGAAAAGGGCAAGGAAGGACAACTAGATTCTGGAAGGAGATGGTCAATGTCCTAAAGGTTTATTTTGTGGTGGAGTCTATGTAGGGTTCTTCAAAAGAAGAAATACACCTGGTTCCCAAAACCTCTTAAAATAGTCAGGAGTGTCACTAAGCTTTGCCGTGAGCCTGTCCATGGACTAAAAGTACTAAATTTTGAGACTTTTTGCATGGAAAGCGCGTTCCCCTTCCAGTTCCGTTATACAAAGCTGTGCTGTTGTAAAAATGTGAGGTGTAAGTTTGAGTGCTGGTGGATGAGCAGTTGAGGAGACCTAGACTTGTATCTGGGTCAAGATGAGTTGTCTAGGGTGGAGTTTAGAAGACTAAACACCTGAACTAAGTATGAAGCAGCAAAGGAACAATAGCATTCTCAAAATTTGGATATGGAACCCGTTGTGACTGCAGTCACAAGACCAGAAGTTGGACTAGGCGGGAAAAATATGGTTTTGGTAAACCGGTCGATATACCAAGAGAAGAGGGTTGTCAACCCATCTCTATGATTACTGTCTGAGTTAAAGTCTCGTGGATATTTTATACTATTGAATAACAGTATACCTTGGACATAGCATTGTATCAGGATGGAATAGAATAGTTAATGGAAATATTTCTGCTACTTCAGCGTCCTCAGGCACAAAACTTGGCGTTAGCATTTTATAAATGACTTCCCTGCAGCCGATGGGAAAGACCCATTGAAAGGCCACCATACATTGGCTGCAAATATTGGAAAGACACACGGGTAGGCAAGTTACCAATTGTAGAAAAAAGGTGATGTTTTCACCAGATATATACAGTTTGACATCTCAACCTCCCCACCAAATATAGCATCACTGAAAAGGAGTATGAAAAAAACAGGGGTTGAAAGGCTGTCTTCGCATCTAAAGCCAGGGAGATACAAATATTGGGTAACATTTGGAAGGGAAAGCCAGTCGTGAGGAGGTAAAATCTCCAAAGGAAAGAGGACAGCAATAAACCTGGGCAGCCCTTTATTTATTCATTACTGGCATTTATAAAGCGCCACAAATTACTCAGCACTGTACAATTTAGAAAAGGACAGTACAATATAAAAAGATTGATACAAAACATATAAAGAGGGTATGAACACAAGTCTGTTGCTCGCAGTCTGTACTATGAGCGTACTCCACAAAGCTGCTCTGCAGTAACCAAAGGGCCTCCTACACTCCTGGGCTGATACGGAAAGTAACAGGAGAACTTTTTATTATTTTATTTGTTCAGCAGTTCAGCAATCCCTTCCCCAAACATCAGTTAAGACTAGATGAAGGGTACAACTTTGACAATCTTTATTGGTGCACACAGCTATTATGCATAGCCCCATGCAAGGGGTCTTCATCCCAAACGGGCAGGTGTCATATCCCAGGATCCTCAATACCTGAGAGCCAAAGGTGGGAAAGGGGGTCGTTGTGCCTTTGTCTCCCAGGTAGGGAATTCCTGCCACCCAGACGAGAGGTCTCTCACAAAGAACGACAGGATAGAGAGGTAGCCAAAGCGTGGGAAAAGAGGTTGCCCCTTTGTCTCCCAGGCACAGAAAAGCTTGCCAAACTAGCCAGTGCCCCCAAAAGTGTCCCCACCAACCACAGAAGTCCCCTCAACGGCATGAACCCCGATTTGTCTTCGTTCGCGCAGCTCAGGTGCAGAAATCTGCAAGGGAAGCGGCTCCTTTCGGGGCACAAATGCTTCCCTTGGTTGGCGTTCGTCTATACAAAATGGCAGCCACCCAGGGGAGCACTCATTAATTACTTCCCTTGCGGTTTCACACTATGTTGCCAGTGCAAACGTTGCGGTTCTGCACTTATGTTACAAGCGTGAACGTTCTGAGTAATTGGTGGGAACATTCTAATGGAGCACTGGGGTGGTCCCCGTTCGGGAGACGAATGGAGTCCGTTCGTTTGAACACTCCCGAACAGGAAAACAGGCATAACACACAAAAAGCTATGGAAAACACAGTAACAATCTAAGGGAAACACAGGGATTCAAAGGGAAACACAAAAATGAACAGGGCTCTGCTGCAGGCACCAAGTAATTTCGTCACAACTATAAATTCAATTGTAATCCAAGCGATTCTCGAATTCTTTAGCAAATAACCCTGATAGCATAGGAAAGGCAGCCTAGTCTGCAGATATCAGGTTAACATAAAACAGCTAAAGCTTGATACATAACTCCTTTTTACAAAATGGGTTGGTTTACATTTACATTTCACCATTAAAGTGTTTTCACATTAAAATAGCTTTCATTAAAATTTTCCATCTTGTTTGTATTGGCCTAATTCTTGCAATTCCCTTGTCATGAAGTGTTCAATGAATTAACACCAGAATAAATTATATATTCCCCTCTGTGGATGGTGATGTGATTGCATCGGACCAATTTAGTTGCATAATCAGCTTATTACGGTGCAGTAAATGTGATGCAAGACTGCTTTTTACACAGCTGCATTCAACCAATGAGAAGCACTAAGACCACTACCTGCTGTGTTGTCGTTTACTTGCCCTCGTTTAACGTAAATTTCCTGTGTGTTAATGCTTTTTAGATTTCGTACAGTTTTAATCTGGATCCCCAGTAATGGAGCAGGGTATTTAAAAAAAAAAAAACCTAAAAGAGATTTAAATAGGAAATAATTTCGTTGTTGTAGGGGGGGTCGGAGGGAGAGTTTAAGCTTTCAACATTTGTGGCTCCTGAAATATTATATATTTAGATTTTTTTCTTTGCCAAAGGTCTGCTTTTAGATTTGTCTTTTAAAACATTAGCAGATTACGGGATTGTATTGCTGCAGAAGAGAGTTTATTTTCATGAACCAACGCTCACAGCCAATTCTGACTTTTGCCATACACAAGTTAAAAGAATCCGAGTTATGGAAAAACAGTTCAATACACTTATTAAAAATTAATTTGTAGAGATCCTTAAAGCCACTGTAGTTTTGTGAATGGGTCCAATTAATAGGTCACCTTTAACCCCTTCACCACGAACTCAGCTAAAAGGTATTGACTAGCAAAGAAATGATTTAGAGAATGGAAAATAAAATACGTAAGAAATAAAATAATACGAGTAAAATGGAACAGACACCAATATTATTCATTAAAGGAGCACAATGACTTAGCGTTGTTGTTGTTGTGTTCGATAGTAAGTGTATCTTTGACTTGGAACAAGCCTTGCACAGACCTGCACATATCCTTTAGTGTGGAGCTGGAATTATACTAGAGTTAATGACCGATCAATAGGGACCACAGCAGCAGTCTTAGATATTTATAAAGATAATGTATCAATCTCTGCATTATTGTCTTATCCCAAAATGTTTTCCTGTTATTCTTTCCCCCTTTCCTTTTTTCCTGCACAACATCTTCTCTCTTCATCTTTTATATTCAATGAGCTATGCTCCTTCCAAAGCACACGGCTTCCTCCTCACTCTCTGGTTTCTAGAAAATATCCATTCCGCAGACCCAAATCTTATACACTATCGGTGTATCTTCTTGTAGCTTTATCTGACGAAGACATATTAACGTAAAAACCAGAATCCCGATGCTCACCAATACCATACCGACACACTGCTAACTCCAAACTGGTGCCACTGATCTTGTCCCGTATGAAATATACAATCTGTGTGCAATTAACTAACTTTAGGGAGGTCTGTAAGTTCCCACATGATCACACTGCATTCTAGCCCCACGGTCTAGATATCTGAGCCTGGAGGACCTGTTTCTGTCCTTGGGAAATGTTTGATATCCCTCATCTTTCAAGCTATATCTCTGCTCCCCCTCGACCCTCGATGTCTTGATGTATACAACCATTTAGCTAGCTTTCTCTCCTAATTCTCTTCTGGACTATGGCCATAATATGGCTACTGGCCTCAACATTCTCCTGAAAGTGCACTTCCTAAAGTAACAGATGACTATAACTGAATGTCCTTTTTCCTTTCTCATCGTTCTGGACCTTTCTGCTGCTTTTGACACAGTTGCTCACCTCCACCTTCTACAAAACTTAAATTTCAGTGGTAACCATCTTACACATTTCCCTTGGTTTGTCATATCTATTTGTTTGCCTCACCATTTGGTGCTTTTCCTTGTCCATCGACCTTCTTCATTCTGGGAACTGAAGGGAACATTCCAAGTAACATAACTATCACAGCCCTCTATAGTGGTTATGGAGCCAGGAGTGTCTTGATGAAGGCTCCCGTCACTTTAATTTTAAACTTGGACTGGAAAAGTCATTGTAAGTTCCATTTTTAGTAACATTTGGGAGAACCACTTGAAGCATTCGTTGTGTTGAGCTGTTTCAACTGCTTTTGTTTGATTTGTTTATAGCAAAAAGCTGAAAGTCTGTCTAATCTCTTATTTTATTTATTCATATTACTGGGATTGCCAGGGAGAATAATGTGAATACAATGTACACCTAGATAGCACTTTGCAGTTTAACAATATAGCTAGCCACTTCTAAGGGCAATGAAACACTCAGAGTGCTATAAAAAGCACACTGATTATTTATTTATAGTTTTATATATATATATATATACTCGTAGTACTAGTATGGGGTTATCTATGAACATAATTTAAGTTTACTATTAAGTGTAAGTATTTAAAAGGCCACTGCTACTTCTATCGCTTATAAGTATCCAAGGAGACAGTTCAAATAAGATCCTGTCAAAGTTTGTTTGTAAATCCATGACATTAAAAGACCCACTTTTATAATTCTTGGAAATATAATAAGGGTTATCTTAGCGAACGCTGTAACTATTTTCACTCAGAGATAAGCATGACGATCACATCTCACCAATTTATTTTATTTATCACATTCTGTAAAGGAAATGGATGAGAAATCTTTGGGCATTGTGGCACTTTTTTTCAGTAAGAATTTGGGAAGAATTGAAGGGAGATACAAATATTTTAACAAAATCAAAATGGAAAATGTATTCGACTCCTCTAATTACGGCCTTATATCCGCAGCTCCTTTGCAAACTCTTTGCAATACTCAGTTTACTGAAGAAGAAACCCATTAGGTGACAGAAAGACTACTGGCTTATAAGTATTTACAGAATTAAACAACTATTTCTCGTTAAATACCCACTTCATCCATTTGCCAGTGGAAGCAGCCATCTTGATTTTAAATGATTATTCCACTAAGATTTGGGGGGGACTTGACGTTGGTTGAGGCCCTATTATAAGATATCTTCCTACACAACACTTTACAGATATATTGTGGCTTAATTCTACCGTGCTCGGAAGATATGTGGATATTTATATTGTTTAAGGATCACTTTGCACAACCTTCTATTCACGCATTAAAGCATAGTTGTCAATGTTCTAAAAATAAAACTAATTACAGGGACACTTTCTGCTGGGTTGTCACAAAATCAATGCGTCACATTGCCTTCTGTGTGCGTCGGATCCAAGAGAAACGCCTGCAGGACAAATACACTGTGACGGCCGAGAACGGCCATTTCCTTTGCTGCAGGGCTATACATTTGCTCTTTTTATTTATAAAAAAAAAAAAAAAGATTTTGAGCAGAGTTCCTATTTTTTTGATTCATTCTTTTTCATCCAAGTTTTGTGGTCCCATCTTTAACACAGAGACATTTATGTTTGTTTTATATTTGGCATTTTAGGAAGAGAATTTCTCATGTTACTGTTTTTGTGCCGGTCTAGAAATATTTAGCCCTCTTTATTGTGGTGTTTTATAATTATGATTATTTATAAAGCGCCAACATATTCTGTGGCGCTGTACAATAGGTGGAATAAGAAAATGTAGTTGCAACAAGACAAGTTGGATGGACAGGAACAGAAGGCAGTAAGGAGCGTTCTCACCCAGAATTCATTTAGAACAAGATCAAAGTATATTATTTACACATACTGATTGCTAAACCATTTATTGTAAATTGAAGACACCAGCCTGCACTGCGTGACTGGCTATGTGAATGCACTAGATAGCGCTGGTCACCCATTTGTTTTCGATAAGACAGTATGTACAAAAGAACCTTGTTTGTGATACTGCAGGTAGCTTCATTCATGAAAAATACGTTAATGCCATTGGACAAGCTTCGAGACTCGAAATAGCAGATGGTATTTGCTTATCCGGTAGTTTAATTCTTTTTTTTTTCCAAAAATTAAGCTACTTGTAACAGATGAATCTACATATTGCATAATGATATGGACCTAGAGATAGTTCATATGTCTACTTCGCACCACGCCAACGGAAAACAATGTGAGGTCTAGGATTGGCTACGTATCTCAGCCACTTCCTGTGCTTTGCAGAATATGCAAATTTGCAGCATTCAATGTGAGTTATTTTGGTTAAAACTCCAGCCTGGAGCCTAGTTTTGGAAAATCAGGGTATTTAACATTGGATTAGTGGGTTATATTTATATACATTGCAGGGCCGATATTGATGAACTGCAATTACCATGATCCCGGCAAGAATTGTGGGAGGTTGAGTGATGTTCACGATAAATCACTGTCTAGATAATGATTGGCTCCAACTGAGATGATCCAGGCAGGTTTATTTTTAGATACCGATGACTCCAAATTACTCGATCAAAGCAGAGAATTATGGGAGACAGCTATTACCGATACAGCTGGAAAGCAGCAGGATTATTATCCTTGCTTTATGTCATTATTATTATTAACATTTTGTAGCACCAACATATTCAGCAGCGCATTACAATTATAGAATGAAGATATTTGACAAGTAGTTAACACACAGAATATTAACAGACAGAAGGTGAAGAAGGCCCTTGTCAAACAAGCTTACAATCTTCAACATGAAACGGGCACATTGATTTTAAGATCTGTAGCATTGGTACATAATTTACTCACACAGCGTTTGTGCCATCAGCGGAACACATTTATAACAGTTTGGTTTCACTCTTTGCCAGGAAATATCTTTCACATACCTGCCTAATGGAAAATTTATGATATGTAGCACATCATTACAGTTTCATTAATTGATAGCTTTTTATTTTAAAATTGATCTGTGATCAATAGCAGAGCATTTCAACGAAGGTAATAAAAAATGACGGCCTGTTCTGACTGCGGAGATGGAGTTACGTCTGAAGGCCCAGTTCTTAAATCTGGAAGAAAAAAAAAATAAGGCTTTTCAGAATTTCGCAAATGTCCAAACTTTTTACCGATATGGAAAATGTTCAAAACATTGTAATACATACCTTAATGGAGAGTACACATGTTTCAGAATTAAGACTGCTACAACCAGAATTTCTTTCTGGAGAAATAACTTTTCTCAGACTGATGGGCAGCTCACTAAAAATTCTGCTCTGTAGTATTCAGCATTCATATGCTGCATAAGGGAAAACAATTACTTAATACAATACGTTACTGCAGGTTGCTCCTTGATTAGTGAGTGTTGTTAATTCCCATCACCTATATATTCTAGGGCAGTACTTTTCTCGCATAGCCCAACAGGCTGAAGAAAGTATTTCTGTCCTTGGAAAAAAATGTCAGGCTGTGACAACCATAGAAACATAGAATGTGACGGCAGATAAGAACCATTCGGCCCATCTAGTCTGCCCAATTTTCTAAATACTTTCATTAGTCCCTAGCCTTATCTTATAGTTAGGATAGCCTTATGCCTATCCCACGCATGCTTAAACTCCTTTACTGTGTTAACCTCTACCACTTCAGCTGGAAGGCTATTCCATGCATCCACTACCCTATAACCATATTCAAACCTATCTTTTGCTGCAAGATACATCGGAATTAATCAGCAAATCAGCCTGATATTAAGTAACCTATTAAATTCTATAAAAATGATAATTAAAGAATTCCAGGTACAAAATAGCATTTTGCTCCTGCAGTCTTTAACCCGTTGTTCACTGCAGTAAACCCATCCCCTATCTCCTGTTTATTATGTCTTTCCTTTGTGCGATCTCTTCCACCGTCCCTGATTAATCCTCTTGTTGCCAGGAACCATACTATAGTGAATAATGTTTCTGGTGGGATGTAATTGTTGACGAACAGCATGATGCTGAGTGCTAAGCATGTGCCCCAGCTGTGCCTTGTGATCTGCCTCTGATAGCAGCTGCAGATTAGCGTTAGTGATCAGCGAGTGCCAAGGATATTGTATTCTTCACACAGGATGGGAGCACATTGTCATTTCATCACCAGTAATATGGGCCTTTTTACGATGACAAAAATCTATTTTTTTTTCAAATGCATTTTTTTCCCCTTTGACTTTAAAAGCATGCTATACTTGCGTTTATTTAGTTTGTGTGTCATTGATAGCGATCATCATCATTCTATAAAGACAGTGTTTCATCAAGCTCTCTGGGAAACCATGAGAAAATATCAAACTGATTAAAGTATTACTTTGCCCTTGTAATGTCTAATCAAATATGAGTTTGTATTTTGTGTTAGTGTGATAAGTCCATTTACATATTTTGTTGGAAATCTCTTCATCGAAGAACCTGTGCTTATTATAATCTTCTTTGCCCAATTCATACCTTCATATGCCTTCCAACAATAATAAGGAATATTATTCTAGAATGCACTTAAAGGACCACTATAGGCATCCAGACCACTTCAGCTTAATGAAGTGGTCTGGGTGCCAGGTCCAGCTAGGATTAACCCTTTTTTCTATAAACATAGCAGTTTCAGAGAAACTTCTATGTTTACCTATGGGTTAATCCAGCCTCTAGTGGCTGTCTCATTGACAGCCGCTAGAGGCGCTTCCGACTGTGAAAATCACAGTGGGAAGACACCAGCATCCATAGGAAAGCATTGTGAAAGCTTTCCTATGGATTGGCTGAATGTGCGCGCGGCTCGTGCCACGCATGCGCATTCAGCCGAGGAGGAGGAGAGTCCCCCGCCCGGCGCTGGAGAAAGAGGTAAATTTAACCCCTTCCACCCCCTAGAGCCCGGCGGGAGGGGGGCCCTGTGGGTGGAGGCACCCTCAGGGCACTATATTGCCAGGAAAACGAGTATGTTTTCCTGGCACTATAGTGGTCCTTTAAGATCACCTAATTAATTTCACGAGTATTTCGTTTTCTATATTACACTAGTAGAAAGTTGATGATAATAATGGAATGAAGGTAACTTTGTTGAATTTCTCAGTTTCTAACCAACATTTGGTGTTTCCTTCTCTTCCGCAGTGAGATTGAACCATGTCTACGACCGGTAACACCGGAGATACCAAGGCCCAGTGCTTGCCACGGAATGGGCTGGTGAAGATTCCTGGCCCTACAAACGGCTTGGGGTCCGCCAGCATCACCAAAGGGACACCGGCAGTCAAGAACCGCCTATGCCAACCCCCGTCTGTGCCCTCTATTCTCAGTCAAGCTTTTCCCAAACATCCCGAACATGTTAACCCTTCAGTGTTACCGATCCTGCCGCCACCTCCCACCCATAGCATACCACTGGGCCTTAGTCCAGGAGAAGAGAACATTCCAAACCTATGTGGCCCTTCAGTTGAACAAGTCCAGGGCCAAGGGATGGACTGGCACTTGGCCCTTGACGAAAAGATACTCAACCGGCTATTCTGTTACTTTTCTGCGTGTGAGAAGTGTGTCCTTGCCCAGGTGTGCAAGACTTGGAGGAGGGTATTGTACCAACTTAGGTTCTGGGTTGGCCTGACACCAGTCTTGCATGCCAAGGAACTTTACAATATACTGCCCACAGGAGAGAAGGAGTTTGTCAGCTTACAGGGCTTTGCTGTCCGGGGTTTTGACTCTTTCTGCCTGGTTGGGGTATCTGACCTGGATATCTGTGAGTTCATTGACAACTACCCGTTGTCCAAGAAAGGGGTGAAATCTGTGAGTTTGAAGAGGTCAACAATCACTGATGCTGGACTGGAGGTGAGGAATTAATAGGAGGCAAATTAGATTATTATTATTATTGTTTATTGAGATTTTTTCAGTCAATACCGTTTAAATTTTTTGGGGGGTGAGAAGTCAAACATATTTATAAATAACATATTTTATTACCTGAATGATGATCTTCATTTTGCTATAATTCCACCCATGCTACCAGTTTTGTATACCCTGACCAGCTGCCCCGGGTCTGGCTTTGCTGTTTTTTTAAATCAATGGGAGTCCAGCTCTTGGTATTTCATGATACAACCAACTTGTGTGTGCAGCGTCATAAGTAAAAATATATAAATACACTACATTGCAGAGGTTAGTGAACAACCTTGACAATATGCACACATTCAGATAAAGTCGTACATTTGCAACATGTAACACAGTGATAAGCTTTAAAAACTCGTATATGTCGTCAGCTAACCTAATTATAGCAACTTTATAATGTGTGACAAACAGAACGAACTAGTTAAATATTTATCATTAAACTTGGTGATTTTCAGCACAATATAATTAAGCTGATTAAATATGAAATAGTGTTTTCTAGGAATGATTAGTAATTGAACAGTAATTTGTTTTAAATATTAACGCGGTTTTACCATTTCCAGCCGAGAGCATTTTAGTAGATAATTTGGCGCCATATAGAATATCACGGCAGATAGCACCCGGGGCCAAATTAGGCAAATGGAGAGCATGTGTGGTTCGTTAGGGCGATACTTGCTCTGGGGATTGTTCACTGAATAGTGTGATTTTTACTTATTTTAAAATTGAAGCCAAAATAGCAGAGTTGGAATAACCAGAAGATAAGTGAAAATAGCCATGGATAATGCCTATTAAGTTACTATTTAGTGAATAAACCCTTTAAAGTTATTTGACTCAGAGGACATGCCAAACAAATCTGTATATTCAAATCAAATGAAATTTCTGTTATTTTGTGTCAATCTGTGCAGCCCTGTTAATGTGAGTGAGGTAGAGGGCCCCCTAATGCTCACGTAGCGTGTTAAGGGTTTATCTCCTTGGAAGGCAGTGTATTATTTCGTTGGCAGGAAGTGGAGGACTTCTTACCATGCAAGTTGTCTCTGTCTTCTGCTTCCTCTGCAGGTTCCCCACCCTTTCCTCCATGTTTCCAGATGTGGCAGGTTTTTTGTAGGTGCGACACTGAGTTTCTCTCCTCTCCTAAGCAGGAGTGGTTTTAGTTGCCGGTGGCTTGGCCGGCTTAGTCGAGCTAGCCACTCTGTCAGACCTCGGTGGCTGTCGGTACCTGACTGCGCCACTGCTCTACTGAACTGGAGATTTTTATCTCAATCTGTGTGGAGCCATTTGCAATATCTACAGGGTAAACTGTACTCTGTTTAAAAAGGAGTGGACATGCAGTCAAGGGATTCCTGGTTCAAGTCTGGAAATTACACAAGATAGGGAACAGGTTCTAAGGACATTCCAGACTCAAAAATGTTAGCTTGCTGAAAAAGTGCAGATTTCAATAGAAATTATAAATGAATCTTGTTACACCCCCCTGGCTGTCAATCAGACAGCTGGTCCTGTTACTTCCTGGTTTGGTTAGCTCAGAAAAGATAAACTCAAGAGGCAGCAACTGCCCAGAACACCGTGCAAAGACTTCTCATTGATCTGCATTGGAAAGTCTGTGATAGGACAACCACAGAAAGTTTGGATGGGGTTAAAAGGGCAGGGCTTGCAAAAGGCAGCAAACAAGAGAGTTGACGTTCTGCAAGCTTGTTTTAAATATAGTTGTAATCAGCATTATTCAACATCCATTGAAAATCAGGTTTATTGTCAAAATGTACAGACTTTCAGCTGTTTGCAATGAATACATTAAACAAAAGCAATTGAAAAAGCTAAACACAAAGTTGCAAATTCAACTGAAAATGCAACGTATAAAGATATCTGCATTCTCAAAATTATTCAACCCCCTGAATAGAATCCCTTAAAAACAGCACAAATATGAAAAACAGGTGTTGTCTCAAGCACACCCGATGCAACTAATAAAGGACTTCATTAGTTGCACCAGATGTGCTTGAGCTGTAACACTTGCAATTGCTGAACTGGCTAGGGATTTATTGAGTGTCACAACTTACTGTATGTTATATATATGGCCAAATCAAAAGAACGGTCAACAAAGTTGAGAGAATATATCACAAACAGACTCTTCACAAACAGGAACAAGATACAAAAAAAAAGCGAAGACACTGAATGTTCCTAGACACACCACTGGAAGCTTAGCCCGCAAGTTCAAAGTTGAAGGAACAGTGGTTACACTACCTGGATGGGGCAGAAAAAGAAAGCTATGAATGACTGCAACCAGATTTCTGAGAAGGCAGGCTGTGAAAATCCCTCAAGTGACTGCAGCAAGATTTGTTGGCAACAGACACTGAGGTTTCAGTGAGCACATTGAGGCGTGTGCTAAATGTAGAACGTTTTCATTCCAGAACTCCAAGCTGTACACCACTATTGGCCAAAAAGCACAAGAAAAGTCATCTCCAATATGCTCAAAATCATATAAATAAGACATAGACGATTTGGGATTCTGTTCTGTAGAGTGATGAAACAAATCTGGAACTTTTCAACCCAATGGATCAGCGGTATGTCTGGTGGAAGAAGAATGAAGCATACGGTGAGAAGAACGCTCTGCCACAAGCATGGTGGTGGCTTGGTAATGCTCTGGGACTGTTGCATCCTCTTGCACTGGAAACTTGAAAAGTGTGGAAGGCAAGATGGAATCATTAACCCCTTAAGGGTACATGACATGTGTGACATGTCATGATTCCCTTTTATTCCAGAAGTTTGGTCTTTAAGGCGTTAAAGTATCAGGAACTCCTAGGAGAAAACATCATGCGGTGTGTGAGGAAGCTGAAGCTTGGGCGTCATTGGATATTCGAACAAGACAATGGTCCAAGCATACCTCAAATTCCACCAAGGCTTGGTTACAGAAGACATCCTGGAAATTTTTGCAGTGGTCATCACAGTTACCTGACTGAAAATCTCTGTTGGGATTTGAAGAAAGCGGTTGCAGCACGCAAACCCAAGAATATTACTGAACTGGAGGTCATTGCTCATGGGCAACGGGCTATGATTCCTCAAGAACGCTGCCACAAGCTGGTGTCTAGCTTTGCATCTCGTTTGCAGCAGGTCATAAAAGCAAAAGGGTGCTCTACTAAGTACTAAATATGCTTCCCATGAAGGGGTCTGATAATTTGAGACAGGAGAAGTCATTATAAGTTGCATTTTTAATTAAATAAGGGAGACCATTTGAAGCTTTCATTGTGTTTAGCTATTTCAATTGCTTTTGTTTGATTTGCTAATTGAAAACAGCTGAAAGTCTTTAAATGTTGTCAATAAACCTGATTTTCAATGGGGGTTGAATAATTTTGATTACAACTGTATAACACAAATGAAAAAATGCATAATTAAAATGTATGTATGTTAATGAAGATACAGTCATTTTTACACATATTTTGTGTAGGTAAGGTTACTGGTAATTATATATTTTTTAATTTAACAATTATGATCCATAAACCCACCTGATATGTCCTTCCCATACATCTTTCATTGTTTGTCTATTAGCCCCCCAAATCTTTAATCCGAGAGGCTGCACAGAATGGGGTTTCTGGTAGCAGTCTACTGTAGGAAGATGATGTTTAAGATTATACTGTCTGGTTGGGGACATATAAATATCTCCCCTTACGTAGGCCACATTGAACAGTGACCATGCAGTGAATCCCTACTCCATTTGTATTCATGTGGAAGTTTTGGGAGTAAGATAGGTCCTATTACTTCCTCCTAGAGACCAAGTTGGCAACCTCTCCCTAGTCTGCTCCCCTTAGATACCTGCAACCAAATGGTAGGCCAAATGTTGAGTGGTCATAAATAGCATGTCTAGCACATCATTCAATTTGTGTGTGTGTGTCTGGCAAAGAGTATCTATGTATGTTTGTCTATGAATGTTTATTTGTCTGGGAATGTGTGTGTCTCTGTGAGTATGTGTGTGTATTCATGTCTGGGGGTGTTTGTGTCAGTGATAGCAGACCTGTATAGATTTATAGAATACACTATCGAAAGAACCACTTAGCAAGGAGAGAGTCTTAAACTGCTATCTCTATGAAGCCTAGAAGAGTCAATCTCCGGGTCACATTGTACCACATTACAGGATTTGTCATTGAGTGATTGACCTACTGCTGCTATTGTTATGGTGTTGTTAGGTAACTTTTGTAAGTTCTGTCTTCAATCTCCCTCAGGTTATGTTGGAGCAGATGCAAGGTGTTATCCGACTAGAGCTATCTGGCTGTAACGACTTCACGGAGGCTGGCTTGTGGTCAAGTCTCCATGGACGTATCACCTCTCTGAGTGTCAGCGACTGCATTAATGTGGCCGATGATGCCGTGGCAGCCATCTCACAACTCCTGCCCAACTTGGGCGAGCTGAACCTCCAGGCCTACCATGTAACGGACACAGCACTGGCTTACTTTACTGCCAAGCAGGGTCGTGCCACCCACACGTTGCGCCTCCACTCATGCTGGGAGATCACCAATCATGGAGTTGTAAACGTGGTCCACAGCTTGCCCAACCTCACTGTGCTCAGCCTTTCCGGGTGCTCCAAAGTGACAGATGATGGGGTGGAGCTGGTAGCAGAGAACCTTAGAAGGTTACGTGGCCTGGATCTCTCATGGTGCCCACGACTCACAGACACAGCGCTAGAGTATATCGCCTGCGACCTGCACAAGTTGGAAGAATTGGTGCTGGATAGGTGCGTATGGATCAAACAGATATATTTCAGGGGTCGTGGGCAGGGGTCCCTCTAAGTACTCAATTCAAACACCAGGTATGGTCATTATAAAGATTCCTTAACTGTTTGAATGTTGCACTGCAAACTACTATGTTTTAGAGTGATAAAAAATAAATGTCATAAAAAGAAAAATTAATGTTAGAAGTAATCCAATTGTTATGTCATTAAGGAATAGTGCTATGATTTGTAAATTAGCAGTAATGAGGGCTATAAAGTTATTTTAAAGGTAACAAGAGAACTATGCTCATTTCTGTATGAATTGATTCCCATATCTATTTAGGAAAGAAAGCTTTTTCCAACATTTATAAATTGTTATGTCAATGTTTCTGACAATAAAGATATATTTGATAGAGTTTGCTTGTTTATATCGGGTTAGGTGAAGAACATGACTTGTATGAGATTTTACGAGCATTTATCTTCTGTACACACATTAGGAAATGAAGAAAGCAGCAAAAATGGGCAGTTTAAAGAAAAATGTTGTTTCTCTGTTATTTGCGCCAGTTTAAACATGTGCCGTTTCTTGCTTCTCCTCACAGGTGCGTACGAATCACAGACACTGGACTGAGCTACCTGTCTACCATGTCGTCCCTGCGCAGCCTCTATCTTCGCTGGTGCTGTCAGGTGAGGAAATAGGAAATATCCTATTAAAATAAAACTAACACATGCCGTCAGAGTTCCTGGCTTTTGTGTACATATTGTGTGCAAAGCCAAAACATTTCCTCTCCCTTAATGTTGTGTGCAGAGGCGTAACTAAAAACCACGGGGCACTAGTGCAAAAATTGCCTTGGGCCCCCACCCCCCACACATGTAGACAAACAGATACACATGCAGACACACACACACATGTAGATACACACACATACACACAGACACATACATAATACAGACAAACACACACACAGAGACACATACATACAAAAACACATACATATGCATAGAGACACACATACAGAGACATACATACAGACATACACTAACACACATATGCGAAATGTTTTAGTCACCCTCCTGTTTCCTACCTTTTAGGTGCAGGAGGGTAACTTCCCTGGGGTCCTGTGGTGGCTCAGGCTGATGGGAGTCAGAGTGCCCACTCCCTCCTCTCTTCCTCCCGGTGGTTGCTGGGAGGAAGTGACCGGGGCAGGCTCTACCTCCCAGCGTCTGATCTCATCACAGGGGGCCGTTCACGCTGTTAAAGATCTGCAGCACTGACCGGGCCCCCTGGTAATACTTTGCCATCCGGTGGCCCTAAAAGCATGGGCCACCTGATAGACCCTTTCAATGCGGCCCCGGTAGTTCTACCGCGCGGGCTGGGGCCGCAACACATGGCGGCGGCACCCATTCGCAGGGGTCTGCAGGGCGACCGGGCCCCCTGGAGTGACGGGCCGCGGTAGTTCCGCCACTGGTTGTGTGGCAGCAGTGGAGTACATCTATTAGGAAGTGTTATTCTTGAAAACTGCATTATGGTGATCTACATCCATGTCAAGTGTGCCAAGGGTATAGATCTGCTGTCAGAATGCAAAATATGTAGCTGTATTTTCACTGTCCCAGTTAAAAAAGATCTAGTAATTGCATTTCTAATTTGAGGGGGGAAATAATCTAGTTGTAATGTGTCAAAGATGCAAATCTAGTTCCACGCTGTAAACAATGGTCTAATTCCAGTATTTCAATGATGTAGATCTAGTTACTTTGGGTACTAATGAAATCTAGCTAGGTATAGTGTGTCAGTGATATAGATCTAGTTACATTGTGTACAAATGACATGCACTGATCAGCCACAACATTAAAACCATTGACAGGTAAAGTGAAAATCGTTGATTATATTGTTAGAACGGCACATGTCAAGGGGTGTGATATATCTATTGATCTCTCCCTGCCTGATCTCTAAAATAGCAAGCCTTGTGAGGTGTTCCCGATATGCAGTGGTTAGTACCTACCAATGTGGTGCACGGAAGGGCAACTGGTGAACAGGTATTAGGGTCATGGGCGCCCCAAGACTCACTGATGCACATGGGCAGCGTAGGCTAGCCCATCTGGCCGATCACACAGAAGAGCTACTGTAGCTCAAATTGCTGAAGAAGCTAATGCTGACCAGAAAGGTGTCAGAGCACACCGTACATTTCAGTTTGCTGTATATGGGGCTGCGTAGCTGCAAGTTGGTCAGATGGCCAATGATGACCCCTGTCCACCGCTAAAAGCGACTTCAGTGCGGACGTGAGCATCCAAACTGGACAATGGAGCAATGGAAGAAGGTTGCCTGGTTTGATGAATCACTTTACTTTTCGATCTGGTGGATGGCCAGGTACATGTGCATCTCTACCTGGGGAAGAAATGGCAGCAGAATGCACTATGGGAAGAAGGCAGCCCAGTGGAGCCATTGTTATGCTCAGGGGAATATTTTGCTGAGAAACCTTGGGTCCTGACATTCATGTGGATGTTACTTTGACACGTACCACCTAGCTAGAGATTGTTGCAAACCATCTACACCCCAACATGGTGTTCCCTGATGACAGTGGCCTCTTTCAGCAGATTTAATGCACACTGCTGTACTGCAAAAATTGTTCCGGAATGGCTTAAGGAACATGACAAAGAGTTCAAAATGTTGCCTTGGCCTTCAAATTCCCAAGAACTTAATCCAATTGAGCATATGTAGGATGTGCTGGAACAACAAATTTGATCCATGGAGGCCCCGCCTCGCAACTTGCAGGATTTAAAGGATCTGCTGCTAATGTCTTGGTGCCAGATACCTCAGGACACATTCACAGGTCTTATGGAATCCTTGCCTTGATGCATCAGATCTGTTTTGGCAGCACGAGGGGGAGTAACACAAATATTAGGCAGGTGGTTTTAATGTTGTGGCTGATCAGTGTATAATTAGTAATAGTGTGTCAATGACGTCGATTTAATTCTAGAGTGCTAATGATGTAGATCTGTGTTTTTATTAAAATTCGGATGTAAGCATCAATCCAGATTGTATAAATATAACAAGAGGAGCAGCGAAGGGGATTCCTTAAATCCCAATCATTTTGGTGGAACTCAAAGGCCGTTTACAGAAATACTAATGTAAATCTTTCACTCTCTATGTATTTCTCATTGGAGACAACGTCTCTGAGATCTGGAGATTATTCATTTGTTTATCTGCAAATCTTGGACTTTTTACTGTTGATACACCACAGACCAACTTGAGCAAAGAGCATGAATGAAATACTATGAATGAAACTGAACACACGATTGTTGAGTACAGCATTGTTCCAGTATAGTATACCGTTACATTCTGTCCCGTTATCGATGTAAGAAAATTATTGAATTATATAGGTAGCTATTCTTTTAAGTAGTAGATTTAAATGACAACCGCAAAGTACACTATGAAGAAGCTAACCACAAGGGGGCAGCAGAGTCTAACCATTGTCACTACTATATATGTGGAGGGTAGAATGTAAAGATTGTCAGGGTAAACAGATATTTTGCTTACCATTCAAAGGGATTGGGAACCAATTGTACTTTTTTTTTTGTATCCGAACCAGAATAATTACTAAATAAGAGTCGTATTCTATGCACTGCTCTTGGCACAGGGCTATAAATTCCAAATTTAGATGCAAATATACCTAAATTATATTAATATATTAGATTTATATGTGAACATTATAGAAACAAAAAAAATCCATACAAACAAAAATAAATAGAACGCAAACAATAACAGCTAGATGTAAATGATATATAATCTAATCTGCTCTTTCAGGTGCAGGATTTTGGACTGAAACATTTACTGGGAATGAAGAGTTTGCGCCTCCTATCCCTGGCCGGTGAGTTTAGCATTTATGCACTAACCATTGACAGGACAATCTTAATTTAACAGCAATGCCATAACTTAACGGGTTGCAGGGGATACAACTGCATTTGAATCAATAGCCTTTCATAATTCTACATCCTGTATAAATATTTTGTTGGTCTGGTGAACAGATTGCAGACATCATTCACAGGTCCTAACTGCTATGTCACAGGGGTGAACATCTGTTTATCTTCCATATATATTCTTAAAAATAAATGTAGAACTTCTCAACGGAATGTCTAAAAGAAGTCCCATGTGCCTTTAAAAATATAAATGCCCCTTCCCATAGCTGGTCGAAAAAAATACCTGAGTACATTTAGAAAAATACCAATATCTGAATATGTTTCAAATTCTTTTTTCTTGAAAGTGGAATTGCTATTTTATTTTAGCCATTGTTCTAAGCTGTCCATCTATTATCTGTGTCGAATTATATGATATCTGATGTGTCTCTTGTCAGGTTGTCCTTTGCTCACAACCACTGGCCTCTCTGGCCTTGTCCAGCTTCAAGACCTGGAGGAACTCGAGTTAACCAACTGTCCTGGTGCCACACCGGAGCTTTTTAAGTATTTCTCCCAGCACCTGCCTCGCTGCGTGGTGATTGAGTAAGGTGTGGAAGCTGACAGTCTGACTCTCAGAGCCTTCTCCCTCCTCCGAATCATTCCTAGCACTGACCATCTGATCGGAGACTTTGGCACAGTGGGGAGTAGAACTCCCAAGCTGCGATTTGCTGACATACAAGGAGCGCAAGATCCTGGGAGATGTTTCACACTCCGGTTTTGTGAAGACCTCATTTCATGTCCCGAAGAAAGGGTTGTATATTTCCCACACCTCATCTCTTGTCTTCTCTGTCGTGGACTGTTCTGAAACTCACAAGTAGAGCCGGCTCCCATCAGAAACCCCATCAGCGTTCTCTAGAAGGATACTACTGTGTGAAGTTGAGTGCAGCACGTAGTGGAGTTTTTCATGCTGTCCTGACAGTGGTGGTCCTCCATATTTTGTTTCAGAGATGGTTATTTTAGATAGTTCATTCCGGGACTTATTATTTCTGGATATTTTGGAATCTTGACACACAGTTTGGAGTTATCACAGATCAGTAGAACCTTCAAACACAGCTGAAAATATGGAGAGGTATTGTTAAAGTATTCGTGAATTGTGGCATTTCTTTACAAAGAGCAACTGGATGGCCAAGGAAAGGGATCTGCATGCATGTTGGCAAGCTTTTGTCATCGTCTGGTGGTTTAAATGAAGATGGAGATTCTATACAAGTCCTGTCTTGTCCCACAAACCTATTTCTGGTTGACTGTTTACACCTAGTCCACACCAGCCTACTGTATACATGGTTTGGAGATTGCAGTGGCTGCTGTGGCATCCCCTTTCTGCTAATAAGGTTTTTCTTTGTGGAATTGTAAGAGAAAACCTCACCGGACCTTGCTTGGAATCATGGATGGTGGAGATATTTGGCATTTCAAGCAATCATATGATTGGATGGATCTGAAAAATGCATTGGAACAATGAGGGTTCCTGAACAGACCTGATGACCTACTGATAAAAAGGTGATGATGATCACGGTACAAGTAATCATGTATAAAAGACAAAACGGGTAGACATGGCATTTGGATATGGAGAAAAGATTGACTAGAAGGATCCTAAGCAGGAAATGCCTTGTACAAACCTTTGCTTGGATGGAGAGTAGTTTTCTCTCTCATACATCTTCCCGGCTTGCCCTAGTGCCTGTAAATTACTGCTCCTGCTCGTCTCTCTGCTTCCTTCAAGAAAAGAGGATAGACCATTAGATATCACCGTCAGGCCTCTCCCTAACTCATCATATGGGAGAAGCAGTGTGATTTTTGTTACGTGTCTGCTTTTAACATCATTGCCCTATGTAGACCGTACAGCAGTTCAGTGTAACTGGAAGGTCAAATGATGACAAAATAGTATAATTATGCGCCAGGGGTTATTTTCCTAATCCTGTCTCTTTTTGTTTTCACTTGGCCCACTGTCTTCCCACTGCCCAAGCTATTATACATAATATCTATATTTCCATCCAGGTTTTCACCCTAAATCTTTTTTTTTTTTTATTTGAATCTGACCAATCATACCCCACCTTTTCTTGATCTGCACCCTATACCCGTGTCTGCCTTCTGTATTCTACAATATGAACTCCTTTCTACTCTTCGTCATCTCCATGCCTCCTCTTTCTCTTTCCATAAACTTAATCACTTGGTTTTGTTCGCTCTTTTCATTGCCTTCACACTCGCTCTCTCTTCATATATCACAGTATGTCTCAGTGTATATGTGGCTGTCCCCTATCTGGCACGTCTCTTCCATTCTGTCCCTTTTTTCTGTGTCTCTCCTTGCACTGGGTGAGCCCTGTCTGTGAAACACGCTTGTGCTGTCACTCAACATGCTTTAAATATATTGAAATATAACTCCAGATTTTCAGCCAGAGATATATGGCCAATGATCTGTGTTTGGCAAAAAAAACAATAAAAAAATAAAAAATATCAGCACACTATCTGGGTAGGTTCACAAATCTGTGTGTAGCATTACAGAATTTACACTACTGCTCAATGTCAGGAATATAGATGGCTTCTGTACAACAGCAAAGTTCTAAAAGCAGTGCAATCGCCATGGAAACCAATGGAATGTTTCAGTTGCTTAAACCTTATTTAGAATTCTGCCCATAATTGCTCATTATACAGAATCCTAAACAGTTGTGTATTTATCATAAAAACCTAGCATTTCATAAGAACTGAAAGGTCTGTGAATTCTGCCCATTCCCGAGGTCATGAAAATTGGAAATGGTACATTAGCTCTCTCAAACATGGCCTCTTAACCCTACAATAAGCGGGCAATGTGCTAGCCAGCAGGCCTTTCTGACATAGGAAATGGGTTCTTATTGGAGTAGCTACTCCATAAAATCTTTATAGTACAAGGAACACTCCCACACCAATAACAATTTAAGTCCCAGTGTCTTCTTAATTTCAAGAGTTAAGCCATTTGGCAATGTTTTGTCAATGATGGTGGGTCTTCAGTGCCTGGCACCGCAGTGTTAGGGAGGTTTAGCTGAGCAGCTGATGATGCTTAATCCTATCACTGGGTTCCCATAGAGAGAAACAGTAAATGCTATTTCTCTTAATGGGAGGCTAGGGATAGGCTGAGAGTATTAGCTGATCTCCAGCCATTTGGCTAATCCTTCCTCATACTTTAGTGCAGAGGGCAAGGAGCCCCAACTTCAGTGTTAAACTGTGGCAAAATGGTTAAACCTCTGAAGTAAAGAGTCCTCTTGTGCCCCCATAACAACTTAAATTGTTATGGAGCTTCCTTTTAAAGGAGTCTGAAATACAAAAAACTAAAACATACCATCGGAATGTAATGTATCAAAGGATGTAAACACAACGATAAGTGTTCCTAACTGTAAGGGTAACAACTTGGATTTAATGGATTATCTAAGGTCCTGCACCACCTTACACGAGGAAACCTAGATTGACTGCAGTGTGATATCGTCAAAAGAAAACATTTACTAAAGGTGCCAGATCTGCAACCCAATATCTGACAAAGTGGCAAGACCACATAATACGCCTGAAGACCGGTTTTACTGTGACTTAGTAATATTTTGGGCTGAGTTTGTATGTAAAAAGTGGAGGTTAAGTGGGAGAATGTCAAGCCTTGGCCAGCCAGCTAATGTTGGATATGTTTCCCGGTCTTTGGTTTGGAAGAGAATACTGGAAATTGTAGAACGACCTTAGCTGGTGAACCAAGGTTGAGATTCCTGATCGAGAGCATCAAGAACCAAGATGCACAAGCAAATGAAAGTGAGAAGAAAAAAAAAAGGTTGTTTGTTTGTTGGCTAAATTTTGTCTTTGACTCACTATACTGTCTCACAAATATTACAATGGAGAAAACATGATTGATTTACATAAAAGACAGACTAGTGAGATCGGAAAGGGGCAAAGTGAAGACATTATAAACACTGAAGATGACAGATTACCCTCGCGTCGGAGACTGCAGTAGAGTAACAGAGATTGACCACCACATATGTACAAAGAAGGTGTGAAAATGTTGAAATTATTCTTCAATCACTTCTTTCATTGGCTGTAAGGATGCCTTAACCCCAAAGGCACCAATGGTAGTCAATGGATTCATAACAAGACCGTTATTAAGGGTTCCTTGTCCATAACAGAAACCACGGTACCTTAATTAGATTTATAGATACCTGCCAATGCTCAGTGACTAGTTTATTTCATGCTGGTGTAATGTCTTTATGGACAAGATTGTTACAGCTGAAATTATATATGGTCCTTAAGGCTTTAGTGGTAAATTCTGTTTTATTTCCTTAGAAAGCATATTTTTTTATAAATGATCTACAACTGTGACCAGAATGGACAGTTTTGAGATTCTCTCCAAAAATATGTGACAGCATCTCCCTGACTCAAGATGTTGCCAGCAATATATCTCAGGCTACTTTATACACAGCATTACATAGCATCAGAATCTTAATTATAATTCTGCCTCGGGTTCTTTTTCCTAATATAGTCAATTTTGACCAACATCCTGATCACCAACATGGTTTTTGCAGAATTGGAAGCTTCAGGTTAAGTAGCAGTCTTCAAGTAAAGAAAAAGAATAGAAAAAAAACCCAAAAAGGAATCTGCCAACAGTTTATACTATAACAACGGGTAAGTTATTGTGTTTATGAGCTACAGTGTTTATTCATTTTTATAATTCATTCAGGGCACTTACGTATCACCCTAATAATGCAGAATATTCCTGTTTTAAGACAATCACAGTCTGAATCATTTGTGAATTCCAGGATGGGAATGTAAGATAGTGCATAATATATAGAGTAACGCGTACAGCCATTTTAGATCATTAGTATTCATTATTCTCCAATAATTGCACTTATCCAGAGTGTTTTGTAAACTCCAGATCTTTTTTTCTAGATTTAGAAATATTTTTCAAAACAAAACAGACTCTCTCTGAAAAGGAACTATTAGGAAAATTTTAATTTTTGATATCTGAAAATCTCATGTTCCTCTCCTCATTCTATCATCTTATCACAGACCCTCTTCTCATTCAACACACCCTTCCTCATTCCATGTTCATTATTATTCATTCTACTCTCCACATTCCATCTTTATTAGATCGACCATTCCAACCTCTTTTTTCCCCCCATTTTCCCACCCATATTTACAACTTCCTCCCTCCCTTTCTTTTACCATCTCTTGAACCTTCATGATTACATTACACGCATTTCCTTTTCACTTGTCCCTCCCTATTATTTACCACAAACTTTCTTCCCTTTCTCTTGCTACTTGTCATTCCTTCTCAATCTTTGAAGCCTGCATCTCAGAAGTCTCACCATTGGTTGTGTTTATGGCTGAATTTTGGTGTGCTCATAAACAATGACAAATCTAGAATAGAATATACAGGAAATTATGACAGAAGACTAATGTGCCTGCCGCGAATATATGTAAATTTGGCATTTTTTGTTTTATAAGTTAATTTCACAACCAATTAAATATATCAAAGTGAAATGGTGATTAGTCAGTCAATGTCAATGAAACACATCAGACTTTCATCTGGATTGGCATATCAGACTAGTATATTTTGATGGTGCCCCGTAAAACTTGGTGACTAGTGGGCCTCAGAGATTAAATTATTGTCTATTTCGAGATATAAATTTTTTTATTTTTTTTAAATCTTCAAAACCAGTACCTTTTTTCACATAAATAATTTTCCGAGTTTACCACATTCATTGATATAAAATACATAACCTATAGATATATACTTTGGTCACTGATGGTAGCAAGTTCTAACCTCAGCCTAGTCTTACTAGTGCCTTTTTTATTCCAAAGTCAATATAATAAAATAAAATGAAAATACAATTTCCATTGAACTGGGTAAAAGGAACCACTGTTTGTAAATGTCACCATTTGTTTAATTCCAAGACTGTGTGCTAAGTGCTCTAAAATCCCATGGTGAGAAAAACACTATATAAAAATCAATTAAAATTAAAATGTACGTTTAGTTTAATAAGAGACGTATCAAGATAAAGCAGCATTTCAAAATTCTAGATCTAAAATTTAACAAAAGATTACACATAGTAAAAACAAGTAAAATGTACCGATTATTGTGAAATATAAATGTTTTCACAAAGATAAAAAGAAACACATCATTAATTAGGTTCAGTAACTTTGGAGTTGGGATTAAAAATCTTGAAGGGAATTCCAAACATTAACACAAAATATCAGATTAAAATATCAACATTTTTCCATTCCAGCTATTTTAAAGTTAAAACTTACAGTTCTCTGGTGAACTATCCATAATCCCTAGTGCGACAGACAGATCACTTTGATAGAATCCTAGTGGTTCAGTAGGAAATAAAGACTAATAATGCATCTGTTTTTCACATATGACGTGTGCTGCCACTGATCCAGAAGAGGAGAGCAAAAAAAAAAAGTGTAAACGCAAAGCAGTCACTTGGAGGACTATAACTGAGGTAGGTATTAAACACACTTTCCTCTAGTCTCCAGGCTAACTTGCCTCGTAATAAGCCAGGAAGCCTTGCATGGTATTTTCAGTGAACATCTTTTTCCATACATACTCGTGGGCACACAGGTGTCTTAATGGAATGGATGCATGGAATCATGGGAAGAGAACATTAATTTACATTGGATGCCAGGCTGAGCCTGATTTAAGTTACAATTTTAATCAGGGCTCATATATATACATGTCTGAGTTCCTTTATAGATTTCTGTAGAACTTCTGTGAGTCTGCAGCGTAATAACTCCTACTACATTCTCACTCGATCTTACGGACCAGGTTATTTATCAGGAATTCAAAGTAGATTTCAAGTTTATAAATAAATACAGTAGCTGGATTGGAAAGACTCTGTAAGTCAGCCATGCTTTTATTTGAACTATTTTGGTCTAAAGACTAAAATTCACTTTGAATTATCTTTGAATTCCCAGCATTTCTCACTTGTGTAAATACCTCTGTGTATTTGGGCCGACAAAACCTCTCAGGAATTGGAGTGGGAGCATCAAAAACCGTGGGCTAGATCTTCCTTGATAACCATTTCATGTGCAATCTTATGTGATATATTTAGAATTTATGTATAAAAATATACTATAAATGACTTTAAAAAAAGACAGAGACGAAAGTGGATATGGTGATTTAATTAGTCTTGGCCTCTACTGGCTGCCGAGATAATGATGTATTTTCACATCTGTTTTATCCATATCCCTTTGCCAACAATTATTAGTTGTAAAAGTTGGGGCGGATTTCATAAGCGCTTCCAGCCTATCATTAGCATCTGAGGATGGATGGCTTTGCCTCGATAATGTAAAATAAACTTGCAAATGATCTGAGCAAAGGCCGGAGAATTTCAATTTTTATAAAATCACTCAAAATGGTTTGGTAAAACCTTAGCAGACTGCACCCAAAGGCTCTTTGCACCATAACCACTTCATTATATGCTTTAGTGGTAATCATGTACAGAGTGTCCCATTAAAATGAATATTTCAATATTAAAGTGATAGCTAGATGTACATAAAGATACAGAAAATTTCAGCTAGGTAAGTTGAAGCCAATTGTGATGAAAAAGTGTATATAGAAGGCATGCATTAAGGTAAGGATGATAAAAGGATGCATTTTAATACTTCACTCTTGCTGTTTCAGCGTATTTTAATTAGTAAATAAAAAATAACGGTATCGCCCACAAGAGGGAGACGTGAACACACTCTGCCTCCCCTTGGCCCAGTTTCCACACACACGCTGTGCTCAGCTGTTTTCTTTAACCCAGACTGCAATAGATGAACGGCAGAACACACGATTACAGCCGGGATTTTACACTTGTGGGATGCTGATGGTGGGAAATATTCATCAAAAGGAACGAGTGCCAAAAACAGAGAGTCAGTCGAATTCCTAGATCCCGTCTAGCACAGGAGCGGTGACCGCATGGCTTATTTATTCAGTTGCGATTTATAAAAATTCATATTTCAGGGATTGCCTCAGATAAAATGAAGAACTTTAATGATTGCACCATTGACATTTTTTTAAATTGTCCGTGAACAAATAGACAATGTGGTCACCCTAAGAGAGATGGGCTCGTAGTTGTAGACCGGCCTAATAAATGAACTCACTCATTGATAAAATGTCAGCCATTGATCCAGGATTTAGTGCGAAACGAGCACAAAGGACTGCGCATGATAATTTGACAGCGCTGATGTCATTGTGAATATTCAACATTCCTGCAGTGAAACACGCAGACTCATTAATTCACTTCCCAGAATCCTTTACTGCGATGGGAAAACAATTTGTGAATACGCAATCAGCCACTCTATTACCCAGAATCCTACATTACCCTGGGAAATCTACGAGTGAGCATGCTACAATACATCCTATTACCCAAAATTCTCTTACTACCCTGGGAAAAAAAATGGTGTCAATATTAAATAAGTTATGCAATTGACCAGAATCTTCAATTATCCTAAGAAAACTTTGTCTCATTATGCCTTAAGTCATTCTATTACCCCAAATCCTTAATACTAGCACTAAAAACCAGTGGTTTATTTTATTATAATAGTGTTCTCTATGTTTTATCGCACCCGTAAACAGTGCGAGTAATGCCATAACTCAGAATTATCTGCAGTGCAAAAGACTGCGGTGGAGATTTATCAAAGTATCGTGGTCGAAAAAAACTGGCCCAATCGTGATAAATCTCCCCCAATGTTTTGCACTTTCTTTAGTACAAATTTTAAAAACGGAAGATAATGATTTGCAGTACAAAAAAACAAACAAACAAACAAACAAATCATATGATTGTGTTTATAACTGTGCTATTTTGTTCCTGTAAATGATATAATAAACAGTTTTGGTGTAATTCCCTGATCCGGTCACAGGTAAAAAACAAAAAACAATTTGTGAAATAATAGGGATTTAATTTTGTTGCCCTCCTTGTAAGAACCCAAAACAGATTTTAGTGAGATCCTTCATTTTAAGGTTACTATCGGCTACGCTCCCCTTCCCCCAGTGACAAGGTTCGTAACCCCAGCTGTGTTTGGCTGTGCCTGGGGTTTTAATGGGACTGTCCCGGGTCACTGGAACACAGCTAAGAGGGAGGTCACAGCTGCACTGACCAAGCAGCCATCTTACCCCTAATTTACATTGTTTGTCTCCAGGGCAACCATGTTTCAATGAGAGACTGGGATAAGGCCTTAAATTAAACAGGACCTTTGACCTTTTCGTACTAACCCTAGCAGACATAAAGGGGGATTAGCTGTAAATGTGGCACAATCACATTTACTGTGTCTGTTTTGCTGTAACAATGTACCTGTGCCAAATAATTCTGCTATGCAGCTCAGCGTTTATGTTTTTGGTGAAGGTTTGTGTAAGAATTTTGATGCAGTCAGTCAATGAATATATAAAGAGGCAAAAAAAAAAAAAAAATGGTGACCTTACAATATTTACTACGACTGGCAGAACAATTGGATTTTCATTCTGTTTTATACATAATAAAATAGAGTACGCTCAAAAAAGAATTAATGGCAAGAATTTCTACATTCTAAAAAGATATACACACACACACACACACACAGAGACACGCACCTCCCTGTGTTTTCCATTTTATAAAATAATATATATATTTGGTGCCCATGCGATTGTATCCTATTATTACTAATGGAAAATACCAGTAAGTTCGTTTAGCCCAAGGGCAAGTTAGACATTGCGAGACAAAAAAAACTAAATAACTTAATACCAGACATACATTTAATAAATAACTAGTAAGTTTGGGTGAGTTGATTACTAAATAGGATAATATTGACAAATCTACCAGACTGGAGAACAAAAAAAATTATAAAAACTTGAACCCTTTTCCCAATTTCCCTCTTTGGTCTCTTTTTAAATTTCTTAGTTACCAATAACTTACCAATCGATGTACACAGACACACACACAGATATACACAAATAAATAGATGCACAATGAAACACACGCGGATACACACACAGCACAATGACAAATTACAAAATCACACAAAGATACACGCACTGACAAAATCAGATACAGACACACAGAAATAAAGAAAACACAACTTTCTAGCTAATTTATTGTGGGCCCAGGGAGGCTACGACGGCTTCTATTCCACCCCTGGAATATGGGACAGGATCAGAATATATTTTACCTGGGACAGGAGCCCAAAACATGGGACTGTCCTGGCAAATTCGAGACAGTGGGCAACATTAAGAATTACGTAGCTATATGATTTTTCCCTGTGCATTTTTATTCTCTATTTATTAGTTTTTAATGGCTGGGTAATACACGGGTCCTTTGGTTGTCAATTTAAAACAATTCATGCTTTAATAAATATCACCGATAGCATATATTAATTTGTTCTTTGCTGACTAATATATCCCCCCTCCCCGTCCTCCTGGTGACTGGCCGATTCCCAGCTCTGTTTTCCAGGTCGCTCTGTATTCCGAGACCCATGCTCACTGCGGGCAGTAGCTGGGCCTATTCTGAAGGGGCTGTCAATATTTGAACAATCCCCTTGTGAATTTAATTGGGATTCCTTCACATGGGAGACAGAGAGATGGTAACCTGACCCCATCCCCCTCTCCTTCCCTTTCCTGTGGATAACGTCATTCTCAAAACATGCAGAAATACACAGACAGGCACAAAAAAAAAAATGAAAGAGGGATGTGAATGAAGATGCAAGAAGACCTTCATTCGGCTTCCACTGGGGCAGGAATAAGGGCCATTGTCAACAATGAAAAGAGGCACCGATAATGCACTAGACTATTAATCTGGTCATGTATGAACGATGGTAGCTGCAGGCCAAGATTTATCAAAGGGAAAGGAGATCGTCATTTTACAACCAAAATAAGGGATAGCGGGGTTTTATCAGATTACCAATTTAAAAATTCAGCTAAAAGAAGATAACCTACAACCTAATCCAGACTCTATACAAATCAAATTTAAGGATAAAATATCAGAGCTGTGATTAATGGAGAGTAGGAGACGGTGTCCAAATTAGTGAGTTTTGGCAAATCTCAGCACCATGTCTTCGGTTCATATTTAGGATTAGGGAGCTGCTCTGGTGGGTGAGGGGTTACCCCTGTACTTGAAATGTGTCACCTGGCTGAGAATGATCAGACTTTCAGCTTGTCGCTTCTCTAAGTAACCTTTTCAATGCCCGGCGGGTAGAGGTATGGCTGTACCTGGTGTTCTAAGAATTAAAGTTCATCTACTTTGTTCTCGCAAAATAATTTGGGTTTTGTCTGAACTTTGGTGGGTAATTAGGATATAATAAATAGAAAAACTCCTTCAGAATCGGGGGTTAAAATGTAAGATACCTCAATGTACCCCATTCATGTCTTTCAGTGCACTGAACACTACGCTCCAATGAACCCACCATGATCACAAATTTGAAATGTTGCCAGTATTCCATCTGGAGAATTGACAAGAGTATCGGAAAACTTAGGCCAAACAGAGCAGGGAGCCGAGGTAGAGCCTGGGCAAGATGGACGCCTATTCGGTCAGCTCTATGTAAAGTTGGTAGAAACTCCCCCCCCGCCAAAAAAACACAACTATTATTTACCCGATACTTGGGGGATTTCTGGATATTTGAGCGGATTGTATCAATGTAATATGGGAAGAAGGATGAAAGATCAACGTGGCAACAGGCACCCAACATTAGAGTCCTTATCAGAAAGGACAAATAGCCTGAGCTGTACAAGATGGTGGACATGTCAATCTCCATTTATGTGTCCGAGAGACTCCCACGAGGATATTCAAGCAGTGTGTTATTGCCATATTCTTCCAGCGTAGCTATTTCGCAGGATAATTTGCAGGTCCCATTTCAAGTTACTGCAATCCTAGATGTAGGGTGGGGAAAAAATGATATATTGGTAAACACTTACGGTATTTTATTTTTATTAAATATATATTTTAGGTACAAGAATCCCAAAACAAATACTTCTACAATCCCAGCATGCTTTGTGAGGGAGTGTGTCCTGCCTGAAGAATATTTATGCAATTAGCACAGTATATAGTCTCAGGCCTCAGATCCATTTTCGTGGTTTGTAAACAGGTCCAGAGCCAAGGAGGTTAATGTATGACCAGTGCTGACAGTATGATAGATGAGCATGAGACTCCACCTTTGGCAGGACATCGGATACACTGTCCCCCTGCCCCCATCGTCTCATCCTAGATTGGAATACTTGTAGAAATAGATTTTTTGTGTTCTTAGCCCCAGGACACACAGAGATGCTCAGTGCTAACAGGGCTGTGCCTTCTGGTACACAGTGGGTTAACGTTAATATATAGCTCTTCTGCATTCAATGATATAAAGACTCTCTCCACTAATCACATTAATCTTCCTATGATAGAAGATGCTCTCCCGGATCTTCAATATAATTTTAAAGGGGCATTCTAAGCACCATAAACAGTACATTGCAGTGGTTATGGTATGATCAGTGTTTGGGTGCCGTCTCACTGGTTTGTGCCAAGCTGTTTTCCAGCGATATAACAAAAAATTAGACTCATACTTCTAATAGTTCAAGTCTGGCCCTTCTGCTTCGTCTCGGTCAATACAGAAGTGGAATTTTGAGATAGGCGTCCAATTATGGGCAGTGATAGGCTGAGATTGCTGGGCATTCTGGCTACTATAATTGCCGTATGATGGTTCATGCGTACATTCACTACCGCATTAGCTGATCCACAGCAGAGGGGATGGGGTGTAGGACCCTGGATAGCATCATAACCATTGTGATATGATCACAGCTAGAGTGGGTGTACATCAGCCTACGCAGTATAGAGGCAGATCCTAGAAATCACTCACATTTTTTCAAACCAGGAATTAAGGATTAATATAATGAGAATGTTGTCCTTATTCTATATTCCATAAATACTAGGCATTGAAACATTGTGAAAGACAGATTGTGAACGCTCAGCAATTAGTTATTATCACGCTGTCCTGCAGAGACATACAGGGTAGTGTAATCACGTAATCCTGCAAACTAATGGCTGCATATAGAGACCGTGTCATATACACTATACACAGTGTAATTTATAAAGAGAGCGCAAGGGAACAGGAAAAAGGAATAAGAGATGGTGTGAGAGACAGTGAGAAAGTGAGGAAACAATGATTGTGAGGGAGAATGCAGGAACTAAAAGCGAGAGAATGCAAGTGAAGGGAAAAGATTTTGAAGGAATGTGAGGGAATGACTTAGTGGAGAAGGCTAGGGAATAAGAGTGTGAGAGAAAGCGAGGGAAAAAAACGCCACTGAGAATGCCCTACACTAAGGGGTGGGATAGAGAGGAATACTATGTTGCAGAGATGGGATGGTGTAACAAGGGGTATCGAGGGGAGGGCACTCACCATTCGCAGAAGGAAGGCTAGGAACAGGTTTTCCCTTCCCGTCTGCTGTTAAACTTTTTTTTTTTTTAAAGAGATAAGTTAGGGTTAGTTAGAGCCTGTTACTTACCTGAGAGTTAGTGTCCTAAGTGACCCTTCAAGATGGCTGCGGTGTCCAAGGATGCGTGAAGAGCTTTTCCGGTTTGGGCGGAAGTGACGGAGAAGCACAGGACGTCTGGGACGAAGCGCATATGGGATGGACGCATGTTGTGGAGTGCTGACATTACAGGCCCCGCCATCATGGAACCCGGAAGTGGGTGAATTTTTACAATCGGAGCCCAAGGAGAGCTGGGAAAGGGCTGAAGATGCTGTCCTGAGGCCATTACAGCACAGGAGGGGATCGGAGGCTACTGTACAGTAGCAAGGAGAGCTAGCAACAGGATGGAGTCGGGGTCCGGTGCCTGTGATAAGCCCAGCATCTAGGAGACATGGCAGCTGGCGGACCGGGCAGCTGCCAGAAGAATCGGATTCGGGATCCCAGGAGGAGTTGGAGGACCAGGAGGCGTTGCCTAGAGTTTGCAGCTCGGATAACGAGAGTCTTATTCCAGGTGGCGTTCGTTTTTAGTTTTTTTTGGAGCCTTGCAAATGGGGGAGCTAGTAGCTCCCAATCGCCGTGCGGTTGCCAGGTTGTTATCGGATGTGCGTTGGTCTGATAGATTTGTGGTGTAAGACTGATCAGGTCGGGAGAGGTCTCTGGCTCCTGGTGGGGGTGAATTTTGCCCGGGTTGGCCGTTTCAACGTTTTCGGGCGGTTCGGCTGTCGTCGGTTTCATTATTGGTACACGCGGATGGGTCCCTGCTTACGTGGTTTCAGTTCACGTCGGTGCTTGGGAAAGCGTTGGTGGCTTGTGGGCGAGATCCTACCAGTTTCTCTCCTCATTCTTTTCGTATCGTGGCTGTGATGCAAGCTAGCGTCTTAGGTTTTGCGGGCAGGTAGATGGTCATCCATGAGATATCAGCTGGAAGTGCGGCCTCATTTGTTGTGATTTGTTTCTGGGTGTTCCCCCTGCTATGTATGGATATTGGGACATTTGTTTATCTAGTGGGCAGCTCGACAGGCAGAGTCACGCTCCTATGGACGTAACCTGGGGACTCCAGCAGAGTTAGCGAGGGTTCGCTGGAGGGGTATTCGGGGGTTGTCAAGGTTTACATGGAGTGCGTTGCCCTTAGCAGGTTCGTGTCAGGGTCTGTCACCATTTTCATCCATGCGGGGGGGTAATGATCTAGACTGGGTTAGGACCGTGGATTTAGTGCACTTTGGAAAGCATGTCTTGGCATGGTGCTTGGCATTGTTTTCGGAGTGTACTTTAATATGGTCGAAGATTGTTCCCCGTCCATGTAGGCAAGCCTTGCCGCATGCCAGGGATTTGGAACGGAGCAGACGCAAATTCAGTGTCACTATTTCCAGGTGTGGGCGTTGACTTGGTGGTGTGTCGGTCCGACAGGTGGAGCTGGAGGGGGCTTAATCAGATAGGATTGGATATTTTAAAATTTGGGTCTACAAGCAGGAATAGAACAGGCGCTGACTGTGGGGGGCGCGAGACCGACAGATGGGAATAAGGGCCGGCATCGTGGTGGCGGAGTTCCTGGCCAGCGCAAGTAATTCACGAGACAAGGCTTTGGGGAGTCATAGCCTGCTAGGGCTGATGGCGGAAGGCAGGCTGTACGAACTCTGGAAATACACTGTTTTATCGGTCTGTTGGGTAATCACCCCAACAGCCGACAGGTGGTGATAATACTGGCAATGTTTAAAGTTAAATCAAATAAAGCTGTGGCCATTGCCCTTATCCAACACTCCGGCGTCATGTCATTATTGGGGGGGGTAACGGGAATGTAATTTTGTCAGCAGTCATGAGAGAGAGAGTATGTAAGAGAAAGTGAGAGAATAAGAGAAAGTACAAGAGAAAGCGAGGGAGCGAGGATGTGAGGGAATGAAAGTGTGAGAGAAAGCAGTTATGAATAAGGAATTGTCAGGAATTCAAAAGGAAATTAAAAAGGTTATCCCAAAATAGACACACAAAAAAAATAAGCGTGGAAGCAACTGTTTTGACTAAACTTTCCTCCACAGTTTCCATTTTAGTGAATAAACCATTGTGCATTAATAAGTAAGTGATCTGGAAAAAAAAGTTAAGAAGTCTGACACACAATTCTTTCTAAGCTGCCACTGCATTTCATTCGGATTTTTATTGGCGCAGGTTTAAATACAGCAAAACATTTACACATTCCGACCATTGTATTGCGCCATGTGAAGACTGTCGCTGGCAACGAATCTTCCCACATTAAACATGCAGATTGTGTAGGAGGAACTGTCGTGTACTCGTCTTTAAACTATAAGACATCACAGAGACCTTCGTTTCCTCTGCTTAGAAAGACCAATATACAAAGTCAGAACCACAAGAGCTTGCGATTCACCAAACGGGAGAGTGAGGAAAACTTTTCCATTTAAATTATTCTGGTCTAAAATGAGCATATTTTCACAATTATAATAATTTATATAGCACCAACACATATTCTACAGAGCTGTACATCTCGGTCAACTAATCTCTGGCTGAAAGAAAAGGAACGTATCAATGATAACAATAAAAAGGTATAAAATAATGTAATTTATGAAAGTGCTTAGATATTTATCCATTAAAACAGTGAAGTAATATTTATTTAGGCCATGTTTACTAGAAAGAATAAATCATGATTTTTGCTTTTAAGCGATTTAAAAAAAAATAATTTTTCTAGTTTGCCTACATAGAGCTAACACAGTCAGTAGCGCAGGAAAAGAAAAAAACTTTTTGTTTGACAGAAACATAAGTCTAAGTCTAAGATCATGTTGCCAACAATCTGTATACAACGGACAGCAAAAAATAAAGAATTAAGAATTCAAAATGAATTTTAAAGTTAAGGTCAGAGTAGCCAACCCAGAAAAAAAAATCTCTAAGTCAGCTATGATGTAAGTTCCCTTACTCTGACCTTAAATTTGAAAATCACTTAATTTTTACTTCAAACCCTTCAAATCTTAAATTTTTCCAATCCTTCTATTTTGGCGTAAACATGTAATCCACTTGTTATGCTCAATGTTTATTTAGTTCTGTGACCAAATCATTTAGATTTTTAATATTTTTTTTTTTTTTTTTTATAACGGTGCATTCTATTCTGCGGAGCTGTACAACGAAGATAGCAGCAAATAATTCATCCAGACTCAGCGGTTCTGAACAGGCGCAGTGTGTTTGTTCAGGAGGCACACCTGCTAGAATTAATTGTGAACTTGTCGTACCACCCAGAAAAAGAGCGTCGGTAGGGGCACCCATTAATGGCTGTTTTAGGAAGCAGACACCAAATTGTTTCTTCCTGAGGCTGTCAACACGTAGCTAGCCTGTAAGATAATTATATTCCCGGTCTCTGATTGACAAATTTTATTTTAAGGGAAATTAAAACCAAAGATTGTTATGCAGCAGAGTTGCTTAATTTTTTTTAAAGAGACAGGACACATTTCATGTGTAAGTTACAGAGTAGTGCGTGTCCCGCAGAATTAGTAAAAAAGAAAATAAACAAACATTCTTGGATGAAACAGATAAAAGAAAGTGGCCAGGCTATGTGTTGTGGGTTGGCAGTGTGGAGGAAGATCAGACGGGATCCTCAGTTAGATGTGTCCTTTAAATAGTTATTTCATGAAAACCACCCAAGAAGTCGAGTTACTGTATATTGTTCCCAAAATACTGCAATGTGTGTAGGCAGCAGTAAATGCCCGGCTGTGTCCAAACAGAGTGTTATTTAAAGGACAGGACCAGCTCTCAGTAAAGGCAGGCACCTGTTCTGGATCCATGGATGGTCAGGATTTGTCTCAGCCATGACCTACCTTGCAGCCTGGGGTAGGAGGGTGTGGTGACATTCTGATACACCACAGAGGGTATCTTAACTGGGGTGTCTGGGGAATGGGGTCAGGAAGGGGTTAAAGAGATTTAAATCTAATGGTTTCCAATGTAAGCAACACAACTACATTGGAAACCATGAGATTTTGGCCACATGAGTACATTCACACACAGGAATATACCATACCTCCCATGTGTCCCTATTTGAGAGGGACAGTCCTTATTTTGTTCCAAAATCTTTGTCCCTCTGTTCGATCCTAATGTCCCTCTTTTCTAGCAGCTCAATATTGTTGGTGTGTCTGAGTGTAAAACAGAGCTCCACAGCAATAATACTCCCAGTAACATGAGTGTATAACAGAGCTCGACAGCAATAATACTCCCAGTAATGTGTCTGAGTGTATAACAGAGCTCCACAGCAATAATACTCCCAGTAATGTGTCTGAGTGTATAACAGAGCTCCACAGTAATAATACTTCCAGTAATGTGTCTGAGTGTATAACAGAGCTCCACAGCAATAATACTCCCAGTAATGTGTCTGAGTGTATCACAGAGCTCCACAGTAATAATACTCCCAGTAATGTGTCTGAGTGTATCACAGAGCTTCACAGCAATAATACTCCCAGTGGTGTCTAAACTACAATAAATGTGTTTAGAAATCTGTCTGTGTAAATAAGATACATTGTGCTTGTTCGAAATTACATTTAATAAAGTTATATAAATTGTTATTAATAAGTCATCTATAATTAGGATATACTGTGACACAGCCAAAAATAACACAATCTCACACACACACACACAACATATTGCTACACTAAAGACAATCACACACAGAAATATACTCTTGGGCAAACAAAAACAGCACAATTAAACGCAGGAACATACGGATACACTGAAAGATTCACAAACACTACCACAATGACACACATACTGCTAAACACATTAATACAGAATAACACACTGATTTGTACACTTACAAAAATACATAATTTTGACTCTATTGAATGTAGTTTTTCAATGCATTTTATCCATATCACTTCACCCTGTATTTTAGGATTACCTATAAATAATGTAACTGTTTTATAGGAATATAGAGAATTGAGATCTTAATTCTATTGCGTATTATGATTGTGTTTCGTAATAATAATTGCATTGAGATATTCACATCTTGCCTAACTTGATGTAAGATATTTTATTAAAATAGGAAGGATGAATGTCAATGTGGACTCTACAGGGTATAGAACCTGCAACAATGAAGAGTTACAACAGTTGGTACACTAACCGAATGAGCGATCACAATGTCACCTCCAATCAAACAACCTGTTTTCTATCCTTTAATGACATTTAAGACCATTATAAATGGAAGGTGTGGACTGACACAGCCTGAGGACTCTTGACAGTAGCCTCAGAGCAGACCAGTTAATCTGGTTTGGCCAGCTAGAGCCTATAGGGCTAGACCCGAGCTAAGAATAGGTGATGGTAATTTAGACCTGTCCATCTCTACAGATCCTATCACAGCTTTATGAAAGACAGAAGGGGCCTTCCAGCCCCTCCTGCTGACAAGATAATTAATAGTGTGCAAAAAACCCAGCCCAAAGCTCCTACAGTCTTAATACCCTACAATTCAAAGGAGGGTAACCATATTTCGAAATCCTCCCCTTCCAATATATATATATATACATATATATATATATACACACACACACACATATACACACACACACACACAGCTAGTATGGATTAATAGTGTTGCTTTTATTCTACATTAATGGGTTGTGTCATGTTTTCTGTTTTCCTTCGTCTGAATAACTTTATTCCTGTTTGCGCCCTTGCAGACAATTTTGCCATAAGCTTTATCATTTTAAATCGTGGCGCTGTCCGTGTATAAATAGAGATGCAAGAGTGCGCTCTTTTTTTTTTTTTTCTTTCTTACAATATTTTCTGCCACAGTAAGTGGTGTTTTTCTGAATCAGGTCTTTAACCCCCTTAAGAACCAAACTTCTGGAATAAAAGGGAATCATGACATGTCAGACACGTCATGTGTCCTTAAATGGTTTAAAAAAAAAAAAAATGTAAAAAAAACAACCTTCAAATACGTCTGAGTAATATTACTATTTTTTCTTATTTTCGGAATTAAGTCCGTAGTAAAAAAAATTAAAAAGGAACATGAAATCAGAAAGAGGAATAAAAATTGGTAGAAAGATAAATTTCAAGCAGAAAAACTGCATATACAGACTCCCACCATGACCACTTCAAATCACTATCCCCTGAGTACCCAAACACAATATTTATTTATATTTAAATAGTGCTGTTGCCACAATCAGTTCGACAAAATAGAGGTACAGACAGGAATTTCTCAAGAAAGATCGCTAGCAAGAAAGATTATTCACTAAACTGTGAATTGTTGGGAATTCTGAGTGAATTTCAGGCCAAAGCAGGGGACCTATAGCATAGTTTGTTTTCCTGTTCAGCTTTTGTGGCGTAAGACGTGAATTTTACTTTCAATGCCTATTAATTTAAATTCTCACTTCAGAGAATGACCGTGTCACTATTTTTATATATTCCATTTTAGCGGACAATGAGTCATCCAGGAGGAAATCAATGAGGTTATCTGAAACGTTCAGGTGACAGGAAACGAGGAGAAATTATTTATTGCATCACAGACATCGTTAAAACAGCAAATTACACCACGAAATAAAACGGAATTTACCTATAACTTGTGTTAACATATTTTGTAACATGACGCTTTGCTGGGGCGCTCAGAAGAGATGGCGTTTTAATGATCCGTACAGCGATTGCAAATAAAATTTGTCTACAATAAACAAATCCCATTTGCAATTGTTGAAATCTCGCAAGGGCGGGGCCTGACCGCCATGTTTTACAGAGATGTTTAACTGGAGCTCCGAGTCCAGCTAATAATCCAACTCCGTTACAAATGACATCATTTTCAGTTAACGGTTAACCATTTTAAAACACTTTTCAGACAACTGTATTCAATGGCGTAGCTGGGGGGGGAGGGAGCAGTCTGCCCTGGGCGGCACTTTTATGGGGGCAGAGGCGTTGGCGGAACTCTGCCACGCTACATGAATTGACCGTCAGGAGACCTCTGCGCTCCCCTCCTGCCGGTCACTTGGACATTTTGCCCCTCTGGTCTTAGAGCACACCGACTCTGGAGCATGCCACCGGCTATGTGGAGGGGGTCATATGAAACACGTTATATCCCTGCTCCCTGTATTCCTCACAGTGTGGCTGGCGCGGCAGTCCCTTAGTGATGAGGCCAGGCTGAGAGGGGCGGTAAAACCTCTAGCTGTGTCACTGATTGCAGGTCATCTCTATGAGAAGCCCTAAATAAAAGATAAGGGGACTCAGAACTAAGCACTAAGGCACTCCTACTAAATGTGTCATCTAACTCGCACCCTCAGCCAGCTAAAGCCAAAGACACTTTACAAGCTTCTGGGAGGGAATGAGCTGAGGTGGAACAATCCAAAATAATATTTGGACTTCCACTCATATCACTGACTGCCATCAGCCTATCATTTAAGATACCCAGCAATTTACTGTTTAGTGAAAAACAACTTGGATTCCTCCAGTTGCATCTAAATCCATTGAATATTGAGCATTCAGTATCTTACCCTCAGGCGGTTTCACCTGTCAGTAAGCTGGTATGATAATGTTTGTAGCCTTTCTTTGCACATCAATAGGCAGACTTGTCCTGTTTAGAATGTGGGGGGTTATCGGAGTGTATGCAAGGTCTCTCCCTTTAACACCTTCACTGCCATTTATATTCCATTGAAGTATTTTTATACAATATACACAGCTGAATGTTACAGAATGGCAAATGATAAAGGGGTTTATTCACTAAAACTATGATTTGTAAAGAGTTTATAAAGAAAATTACAAACTTTAAAGGGACACTATAGTCACCTGAAAAACTTTAGCTTAATGAAGCAGTTTTGGTGTATAGAACATGCCCCTGCAACCTCACTGCTCAATCCTCTGCCATTTAGGAGTTAAATCACTTTGTTTATGAACCCTAGTCACACCTCCCTGCCTGTGACTTGCACAGCCTTCCATAAACAGTTCCTGTAAAGAGAGCCCTATTTAGGCTTTCTTTATTGCAAGTTCTGTTTAATTAAGATTTTCTTACCCCCTGCTATGTTAATAGCTTGCTAGACCCTGCAAGAGCCTCCTGTATGTGATTAAAGTTCAATTTAGAGATTGAGATACAATTATTTAAGGTAAATTACATCTGTTTGAAAGTGAAACCAGTTTTTTTTTCATGCAGGCTCTGTCAATCATAGCCAGGAGAGGTGTGGCTAGGGCTGCATAAACAGAAACAAAGTGATTTAACTCCTAAATGACAGTGAAATTGAGCAGTGAAATTGCAGGGGAATGATCTATACACTAAAACTGCTTTATTTAGCTAAAGTAATTTAGGTGACTATAGTGTTCCTGTAAGTCAAAATAATCAAACCAGAAAAACCTCTCTTAGCTGGTTTGTGTTCTCAGCTATATTGGGCGAAATTGTGTAATTCTCACAAATTGCCTTTTTAAAATTTCACTACCATTTGGTTTTAATTGAATAAATCCTGACAATTTTATTCACTCTCAAGTTATTCACTAACAGGGTAATTGGCCAATGTAAGAATCCGAGACCATGAAACGGAACTGGGAACAATCTCTGCTGTGATTCCAGTTCTCCACTATTGGCATTAAATTTGAAACTTGATTTAAATTCTCACTTTATTGAATAACCCTGTAATGTGAATTGTCGGGAATTCAGAGTGAATTTCAAATTTAAGGCCAGAGTAGCTGAAATGATAAAGGATAACTTGGAGACGATGTCTAATTCACATTGAATTCTTTTTTAATCACACCTTAGTGAATAGGTCTTTTTGTGTAGCAGTATGTTCCTGAGTGTCATTGTGGTGTTTGGAGGGGGGGGCATCACTTGCCCTATTGCTGGTATAACCAATACATTTCTAATGGCACTGTATGACATTATAACCAATAAACCACCAATGGCACTCTATGCTGTTATAATCAATCTGTTCTTTAAAGATCCCATACTGAATTGGAATGTCCTATGTCCAATTAAAGGCTGAAGGGAAATTCTTTTATAAAATATTTTACTAGAGTGGATACATTGAGATTTCTCTCGTTTTCAAGTATGTCCTGGGTCCACAAAACATTGCATTGTTACAATAGGATACAATATGTGGATCTACTTAAGATACAAAATCTTTAGGAACCAAATTGTTATGATGCCGGAGTGAAGTGGTTTGGGCTAAACGGGATGTGGTTTAATTTAAGCACATCGTCGTACATTACAGCAAACGCATTATAGTAATATTAAAGGGACACTCCAGGCACCCAGACCACTTCTGCCCATTGGAGTGGTCTGGGTGCCAACTCCTACCACCCCTAGCCCTGCAAGTGTAATTAATGCAGTATTTATAAACTGCAATAATTACCTCGCTGGGTTAAGTCCTCCTCTAGTGGCTGTCAGTCAGACAACCACTAGAAAGACTTCCGTGTTCTTAGAACACGAAAAGGGTTTTAAACTATGCTGGACGCCCTCACGCTATGCATGAGGACCTCCAGCGTCGACAGAATCCCCATAGGAAAGCGTTGAATAATGCTTTCTTATGAGGAGGTCTAATGCGCGCGGCCATTGCCGCGCATGTGCATTAGGTCTCGCCCACCAACGTCAGCGTGGGCGGAGCCTGACCCAGCACCGAGGGACATCGGTGCTGGATTCAGGTAAGTCACCGAAGGGGTTATAACCCCTTCAGCAACATGGGATGGGGGGTGGGAGGGAGAGGGGCACTGCAGTGCCAGGAAAACATATGTTTTCCTGGCACTGGAAAGTACCTTTAACTTTAGAAGTTTTGGACACAGAAAATTAAATATAAAGTCTTCAACCTCCTCTTAACTACCTTTTTTCTGAACTGTTTAGTTTGTGAAACTCTGTAAAACATCTTTATGTTAGAAGCTGTGAAACCAACAGCACTCCACAAATGATCAGTAAACATCTACGCGAATTCTAGCACCTCAAACACTATAAACCGGGGGATGTTAGTTTCAGTGAAGACACATAAAATACACTGTAGAACTGGCCACAAGAGTGTTTTTCACAAGATAAAATTTGGAATTCCCAAAGTAACTTATAACAGTCCCTATTTTTTGTAAATCCATCCGAATTGGTCTGAAGAAGATTTAGGATTCATAGAGTAAAGCAGTGGTTGCCAATTTTTGTCACAATTGTGGGTTTTGTTTTTGTTGTGCCCGACACAAATTTGCAAAGCCTAGACCTTAGAGGTTGTGTTTTATACATAAAAAAATATATATTACAGGCTCGAAAAATAATATAATATGTGTAAAAACAAAAACAAAAACAAAAAGTATAGGTTTGTAAACATAATTTTGATATGTTAATAAATTACCTCCAATGTACAGAAAATAACTGATAACCTTAGGCAGTATTCTCATGTTGGTGGAAAATAAAAATAAGTTAGAAACTACAGAGAATGTTATATATCATGCCGGATCCCCATTATAACGATATTTATCCAGACAGTAATTTATTCATGCTTCTAGATAGACAACAGAATCAGCACAGATTCACTTTAAAAACCTAATCATTAAAAAGTTAAATTGAAAATGCATTTTAAATGCGTATTCCTAATATGTAGCAATTCATAGGCAGGAGGGAAATTAACGAACGAGGACGGTCTCCTCGAATAATTAACTGACTTACATGCTACAGGGCAGCACCTTTCCAGCATTGCCCGTTAGTATTAATAAGTGGTTTTTGTTTCATAAAACAAATTGCTGAATGGAAAGGGTCCTGAGGATGCGGTGTTTACAAAACAGAATTATAAATGTAAAAACTGGTCATTCTGACCCAGTTTGTGTAATTGTTCACCAATTTTATTACATTGTCTTTCTTTCAAATACGATAATTTGTATTTGTTACTGTGCTCACTACTTCTAGGATTTTCAGCATTTTTACAAAGAAAAAATGTAAACGACTAACCATTTTGCAACAAAACGCAAATCTACTTAACGGAGAGAGAGGTGAAAGGAAGAGATATGGCGCATTGTGTACAATAGATGTGTTTTATACTTTTTACAGCATATTTATCAGATGAAATAATTTGACCGAAAGAGAACCATTGTGATCGAACGGAGAGAAGTGATCGCAAATTGTGACATTAGAATTGCCTGATCCATCATGTCTTTCTGGAACAAATTTACATTTTTATGCTGTTTGGCAATGCATGAAAAGTGCTCCCCGACCTGTAGTATACTATGTAGCAGGAGATAAATCAATTCATTACTTTAGGAGGGATCCAAATAAACAGACTTGATTAATGAACTTCCTCAAGGCAGCTTGCGAATTGTTACAACATTTAAAATACATACTACTTTTTATGTGCTCTGCAACATTATGAAAAATATCTGGGCAAGAAAACCGTGTATAATTACAAAAGGACACAAGTTTTACGATGCTAGAAAAAAAAAAAAGGGGACCAGACGTGACGAATATCCCAAGTTAGTTCTTTTTGGCGGAAAACAAATTCCTAGTCAATTCTACACATTTTCAGACTTTGTGAATACAATTAATTTTGCAATTCTCTTTTTCGATTAAACTACAAGTCAATGTAGCAATGAGCAAAGGGGACACTATAGCGCTAGGAATACAAAGTGATATTCGTTATATTCCTAGCAATATAATACTCTCTGCCTCCCTCCTTTTGTTACTTACGTGATCCCAGCGTTGATGTCCCTTGGTGCCGGGTAAAGTTGCTCCTTCACGGACGTTGGACATAATGCGCATGCATGACAATCACATTTGGACTTCCTGTACAAAAGCATTGAATCAATGTTTTTCTATGGGGTTTTAGCGGACGCTGGACGTGCTCATGCAAAGCGTGAGAACGTCCAGCATCATTCAGCAAATCAAAATTCCGGTAAACGCCCGGAAGCACCGCTAGTGGCTGGTTTAGTCTGGTAGACAGCCAACAGAGGTGGAGTGAGCCCTGCAAGGTAATTATTGCAGTTTCTCAATAACTTTAGAGAGAGTTCAGAGAAGGGCTACTAAACTGGTTCATGGATTGCAGGATAAAACGTACAAGGAAAGGTTAAAGGATCTTGTATAGCTTATGTGCAATGAAAATGTATAGCTTGGAGTAAAGACGAGACGGGGGCGGATATGATATAAACATTTAAATACATAAAAGGAATCAACACAGTAAAGGAGGAGACTATATTTAAGAGAAGAAAAACTACCACAACAAGAGGACATAGTCTTAAATTAGAGGGACAAAGGTATAAAAATAATATCAGGAAGTATTACTTTACTGAGAGGGTAGTAGATGCATGGAATAGCCTTCCAGCTGAAGTGGTAGAGGTTAACACAGTGAGGGAGTTTAAGCATGTGTGGGATAGGCATAAGGCTATCCTAACTATAAGATAAGGCCAGGGACTAATGAAAGTATTTAGAAAATTGGGCAGACTAGATGGGCCGAATGGTTCTTATCTGCCGTCACATTCTAACTGCAATAATTACAATTGCAGGGTTAAAGGGACAGGGACATTGCACTCAATGAGATGAAGCGGTCTAGGTGCCTATAGTGTCTCTTTAAAAGCTTAATGGCAAAATGTCAGCTAAAATAGCGGACTTGGAAAATATATTCCACCTTTTCATTTGATTATTCAGCCTAAATGTTACTCTGATTTAATTCACTGCAATACAGTAATTAGTGAATTACTCCATTGCAATTTATCTAGCCCATAATCAATGCCTATCGTTACTAGAATTGTGTGTTCGTGGTTTTCATCTGGTGTGAACCAATCAAATACCTTTTAATCTACGCCCAAACGAACAGGCACTCTGTGATTTACCTGTGGAGTCTTAATCAATGAAAAGAGCTTCCAGCCTTTTATACCGGGAGAGGCAAGGCTATGCATGAAAAAGAAATACTGTATCACTCTCCCCACTATAACCTCACCCCTAATCAATACACTCCCCTCCCTCGGCCTGTGTCTGTACAGGGTGCTCTGCTATTGTTTCAGTCCTGTTTGGGACATTTTGGAGGGATGTCAGTGCAATGGGAGTTTAATGAAATGATGGATTTGTTTATTACCCAGAGTACAATGCAGGCTGTAAAAAAACTAATTACATGTGGATTTAACAGAGGCAGCAAGTTAAAAAGACCGGGAGATGTTTTGATTAGTATTGAAAAATCAGTCTCCCTGCCACAATGGCGTTTACGTATAAAAACTGTCACTTTTCCCCCCATTTTATTTATATATTTTCTGTAACTTTCGGTCAGAGACAGCTATCTATGTGTAAAAACATTATAGAATTCTTTGTACATTGACAGACTTTTATAGTTCTAACAGACTGACTATGGCATAATAAAATGTCAGGATAAAAAATGGACAGCGATGCTAATTTTATTTGGAAAAGAAAAAAACCAAAAAGACGTAAGTTGGAAAAAGTCTAAGTAAGGGCAATGGGGATAATTTTTTGCGCAATAAAGAGAATTTGTGATTTAAGATCAAAGTATCCAAACTGCAAACATTCTATAAGTCAGCTTTGATTTCAATTCGACTATTCTGGAAATAAATTGGAAATTCGCTTTGAATTCACAATTTAGTAAATAACTTTGATAGATTTGTGTGAATTTTACAAATCATTGCGGTTCTATGCCGCTGTCAGAGCTGAGAGTTAGGATGCTCGATGTAACATCAACCCTGCAATTATCACATTTCTCTCCATGTGTTGCCTATCAGCACAAAGACTTCTTATAAAGCCATAAAAATATGGTGGACTTGGTAGGTCCACCTGGTCTGCCAATGAGACCCAGCCATTTCTACCACACTCACTAATCCAAGCCAACCTCAATGCTCTTTCAAGAGAGAACCTATACAGATACTTCCTGGATTTTAACATGTTGTTTATCACAATGAATGCACAGTTTAGTGGATAATCCACTTAAAGGGAACGCTGGCCAATATCTTGGAAAGACCGCATTAAAAGGGGGATTATTCATTAAACAGTGAAGCTACGTGTGCGTGAATGACAACTAAGTTACAAAACGTGGATCAAATCAGCCAGTCTAGATAAGAAATAAATCCCTTAAATTGGCCAAGGAGACGGATATTTTACTTCAAGAGATCTGTTATACAACTTCGTTGTCAAAGCACAACAATTTACTGTGTTTTATCCACTAAATGCAGAAACGTGGAAATGGCAAATATTCTGCAAATGTTATGCAAAAAAAAAAAAAGCCAAATTATAATTATCCGAGTGAGGCTTCCCCCCCCAATTTAGCTATTATTTGCCTAAAATGTCCAACTCCCTTTGAAGTTCTCCGCACATCACAGTTTAATGAATAAACCAAGAGAAAACAAAAACAAAATGTTTCAAAATAAACCAACGCACAAAAAGTTAGATAAAACTATAGATATTTTATTACAGACTCAAAGCCTGAATTGGGGGGGGGGAGGGGGGATGCTGCCACTCACTGTATCTTATTAGTAAAGTCATTACTATAAAAGAGAGAGATTCTTTGTATCTCCCTCAAGTCACTTCAGATGTAACAGAACATCTGGGCAAGGACTCCTCTAATAAGTCTCCCTCTGGTCTACACTTTAATTACATTGTTCTTTCACCCCCATCTGAAGGGGGAAGGGACTGTAGATTCCATCCCTTGGCTGCCATTGGCTCAAAGTTTTATGTTTCTCTTCTCTCATTGGCTGCCCAAAAATTCCTCTCACCCCACCCTCTCCTATCCCCCCTCTCACTCTGACTTCTGTCATAGAGTTTCCCAGTGTTGGAGTATAGTTTGTGGACATGGGGTGGTTGTGAGGACTGTGGACATTTAAAGGGACTGAGCAGCCAGGCAGGATCCATGCTCACCTTGGGCTGTTTTTGGAAAGCAGCAAAGGGCAGTGAAGATGTGGAGAATTTTTGGAGTCCTCTACCTGTGCATACTTAGATCAGCATCCTGCAGCTATAGAGAGGCTCAGTGCAGCTGGAGGAAAAGGTAACAATTAGCCTAAATTATTCATTTGATTTGGGTTTATTCCCCAAAATTGCAGGTTTGGGGGGAGAAAGATTAATAATTCTACAATTTGTAATTCTTAAAGAAATATGCAAAGCAGAAGCCCCCAAGAGTTCAAACTAAAGTTTGGGTCGTTAACAAATAATTGTATTTTAAAATATTAAGGGAGATTTTTATATATATATATATATTATAGTTTTTTATTAAGACGTGCTCTGTTTGAGCTTTATAAATCCTTAACATTCATAGATCTAGATTCTAATTCTATCATATTTTGAAGATTGGAGTCTAAAGACTTTAGTTTCTAAGTTTTTTTTTTTTCTGTTCTGGTTGTTAAATTTGGAAGTATACTCAAATTCTAGATTTTCTTTTAATGTATTTTTTTTTAAGAAACCTTTTTTAGTTTGTGATCTGGGATATATGTGAAGTCCTGTAGATTGTCAGCTCTTCTGAACCATCCTCTTTTCCCTGTAATAGTCTGTGCATGTAACATGATTTTATTGTGCAACGCTGCAGACTATGTTGACGCTTTAATAACCAACAACTAAAGCAATCTTTAGTGGTTCACTGACAGTTGTAGTTTTTGGCCATATCGTTTTACATTTGGCTCTCAATCCGTTTTAACTATTAACTGGCTTAGCCTCTCTGCGTGTTTCAGTTTGATTTAATATTCTATCCTGATGTGCAAAGTGCCAGACTCTGGTGAATATTCTCTAAACTGAGATTTGTGGGAATTACTGGAATTGCTGAGTAAATTCTCCAGATCTATTCAGATTTCCTAAAGTAATTATTATAATATTGTAATATTCTCTGCAGCAAACTGTACTTGCAAGTATTAAGAATATTTTCTGTTGCAAAAGTCAAGTTGTGTAATAGTTAAGAACAGCAAAATGCAAGCCAAATTGGTGGACTCACTAGCCACCTACTGACCTTTCAAGGAAGGTTTTTTTTGTTTTTTTGTTTTTTTTTTGTGTGCAAATCATTGACTGGAGACAGGCAGTCTGTAAGCAGAACATATAGTTCTCTATCTTATTACCCAAGACAGCAGTATCTAATTTATTCTGAAGGCTTCTACAATCACTGCAGGAGTTGGGTGACCTCCACCCCCAGTCTGACTTTGGCCTCTTGTTGCAGAAGACTGGTTGATTCTATTCTACACACAATCAGTTTATCTCACAATGTTGACACTTACTTCAGGCAACAAAATCCAATTCTTAATAAACATTCTGCACTCTGTGTTATTCAGTGCAGTAAAGTAAGTTGTGCTGCATTCCAACAATATAGTGTTTACCAGGTTGATTTTAGAATTCTTTATACCAGATTCCTTCTAAAGTTACTGACCGTCTTAGAGTTACATAGTTTTTGGATCAACAGCAAAAACCAAATGTGAGGAAGGCTGAACTTGATGGACACATGTCTCTTTTCAGCCTATGTAACTACATAGACCGTAGAATTTGAAAATAATCTTTTTTGCTTTTTTGTGTGTGTGTCTGATTTATAACCCAGGGACGAGCTGAATCTTCTATGCTATTTAATTCTGTATTTTTTATTTTTATTTTTTTTGTATTTAACTTGCATTGCGTGCCTAGCTGTCTCGGCGCAGTCAGCGTATAAATATATGGGTAAATGATAGGCCTTCCAACTGTCTGAATCTGGTAAACAAGCAGCATATTTTTGGGCTTGTGTCCCTTGTTTTTTGGGAGCTGTCGTTAGACAAAACTGCTATGCTAAGGGCACTAAGACCATGCTCAACCTTAAATAGAGCCAGCCAGTGTGATTGGCAGTCAGCCAGGTGTGTATTCATGCCAAGCTGGCATGCCCCTTCTTCTGGCAGGCCTGAGGCCCATGGACCCCAGTCATGATTTACCTACCTGCTATGTTGGGTGGTACACATTGTTGTTCGTTTGGGGCTTTTTTTAAAAGTATTTTTTTTTTCTCCTACCAGATAAGTAACTAGTTACATTCTGCTACAAAGTTATAATCAATAAAATGAATTTAAAAAAAAGAAAAATAAACTATTTGTCTAATGGCTGAGAGAGTATTTGACAACCCTCTGGGTCAGGTCGCTGATGTGGCCATCGTCTATAAGTGTTCTCTGCATACTGTCCTTTGAAAAGAAGATTCTTGTTGGGGTTACCCAGAGGGAATAACCGCACTGTAAATCAGGCCCATTGAACGGCCCGGCTCTTTTAAACTTGGAATCATTGTTTTTAAACTCTGTTAGCCAGCTGAGTGCTTTCACCTTAACCCAACTCAAACATCTGCTGCACAGCACCTTTAAATCTGCGCACAGCTGCTGTGTGTGTCTGTCACTTTGGATTTTTCCAAATTTCAGACTTAACATCCCAATCAATTGCTTTTCCCCAGGGTTGTGTGTGAATGGCAGAACATATTTAACCAGCTCAGTACTGGAAATAACCGTTCAGGAATCTGTCGTTGCCTGTGGCTTAGATTGCATTCAGCAGCAAATTCTGTGTAATTCATTTATGTGACCTCGGTTCACCGCCTTTACACTGCTTTTTCTGAAAGTACCAGAAGTGATTTTCAAAAAGTAGATCTTGCCTGCAGAACATGAATGCTATATATAGTGCAGGGAACAACTTTCATGTACTGCCCAACAGTGTGAAGATGTTCTAAAACTACAGGAAACATGGTGGATCTGAAAAAATTGGTGTAATAATTTGCAATCATCAATCTATTGTCTCTCTAATTATATGAAATGTGTGGATTAATAGCACATTTTATTTACTTTGATTTGGAAATTAATGTCCTCTTATAGATGTCTCCTGATCTTCTGAACACTGAATCTCATATATTTAATAAAAATTAGGTACATTTAGAAATTCATTCATTTTCTTGAACTTGGTGGGGGGGAAACAAAACGTAAGGTTGGCACATTGTCCACATTTTACATGGGTTTTGTGATTTCACTGTTTTAGTGAATCTGAGCTTGTCAATAAATATATAAACATTCATTTTCCAATTTAACACCACTTAGTGAATCCCTGTATGTGAAGGGCCTGTCAGGACCTCAGTAATCATGTCAGACCGTAATGGGGAGCAGTAAAAGTGGTTTGATCCCTGCCTTGTTTCTATTCCTTCCCACTATTCCTTCATTTACCTCTCCAAACAGGGCCGTGTCCTGCTGGGCCTAAGGGCATCGCCGCTAACCCCATTATCTATATATTTGGGCAGACCCTACCCAGACCTAATGGGGTACATTCCAAGGATAAGTAATGAAAGAACAGAAAAAGTGACTTCGGACCCCAAGAGCTTACAGTCTGAGATTAATAAGACACATTCTTGGATGAAATAAAGATGAAACATTGAGCGTTCCGTTTATCAAATAGTTGTATTTATATTTGTCTTTTTGTTTCCACAGTGGGCTTTCCTTGGAAGCGAGATCGGTGGAGCAGGTCACTTTGCGCTGCACAGAAGGCACCGTGGAATGGTTGTACCCAATGGGAGCCCTGCGTCTCAGTTTGGTGCCACGTCCACCAATCACCGTGCCCGCTGCTGAGCCCAGGCTCCTGACTGCTTGCATTAAGCCCACCGCATCCTTCCGCGGTGCCCAGCTGTATCTGGAGAGAGAAGGGGTGCTGGAATTGCTGCTGTCTGAGGCCGAGCCAGCCATACGGCCTAGGGTTCACTGCTTCAGTTGGCAGCCCCACCAGAAGGTGGCACTGTTCCTGCAAGCCATCCCACATCAAGACATCAGCCGCCGTATTGCTGCGTTCCGTTATGAACTGAGGGCGGACTGGGATGGGAGGCTTGCTCTTCCCCTAAGCAAGTTAAACATGGAAGGTGAGTTGGATTGTAGTACCAGCCCCTTCGCCATGTGATACTGTCCAATCCGAATCCTCTATGCTGACACACCTCTGCAGGACAAATTCCTGAATATTGGCATCCATTAATTACATTATCCCAGAAACCCAACAACACATCAGGTCTGACCTTTACCAGAGAAGGAACAGGCGCTATTAAATCAGTGCTGTGATATAGTGTACCACACCACTGCTAATGTCAGCCACATTTACATTAAGAGTTACGTCCTCAGTTCCTCTTACTCTTAATCCATGGTGATTCATCATCAAACCTATACCTATTGTACAGCGCTATGGAATCTGATGGCGCTATATAAATAATATAATAATAATACACACTTTACATTATTAAATGTTTTATTACTGTGGAGCTCTACAATACTCATGCACACCTCACATTATTGTGAGTTGTTTTTATTGATGTGGAGCTCTGTGATACATTACTGTGAGTTTGATTGCTGTGGACCTCTGTGATACATTCATACAGGCTGCATAGTTTGTTGCTGTGGAGCTCTCTGATACATTATTGCACATTACAGTGAGTGTTATTGCTGTGAAGCTCTGTGATACTCATACACACTGGATATTACAGTGAGCTTTATTGCTGTGGAGCTCTGTGATCAATTTATAAATATTTACATCCCTGGAGATTGTAACATAGAAATAAATGGCTTTTGTGTGCCTCGAGGGGTCTGTACCCCCACAGTGGGGCTTTTTAAGAATTCTTCCTTTGAGCAAGCTCCCCATGTTGGCTCTAACATTAGTTTTCCAATTTAACACAGCTTAGCGGATCCTCTCCCTGTATGTGAAGGGCCTGTCAGGGCCTCAGTAATCATGTCAGACCGTGATGGGGAGCAGTAAAAGTGGTTTGATCCCTGCCTTGTTTCTATTCCCTTCCCCCTATTCCTTCAATTCCCTCTCCAAACAGGGCAGTGTCCTGCTGGGCCTAAGGACATCGTCACTAACCCCATTAATTGGCCTGAGATAAGGATCTGTGGGGGTTACCATGGCAACTGATGAGGAGGGGCAGATAGCGCGCCCACTCTTTAAATACCAGGCGTGCAGGAAATCAGTTTCATTAAATGGGTTAAAGTTTTCTAGAAATGTTCACCAAGGCAGAATAACAGGCATTTTGTTTTAGGATTTCAATGTCCACATGGCGTTTATTCGGTAAATTGGGAATTCTGAAGAACTAACATTACATTCAAATTTTAGGCCGAAAAAATATATCTTTCACTCTGCTATAGTTTCCTACATGCCAGCGTGCATTTAAAAAAAAAAAATTATTTTTATTTTTAAAAGTGTAGTTATTTTAGTTGTGACTATAACCATATTGCAGATATTCATTCGATCTTTTCTCCAAGTTATCCATGCTGGATGAAATGTTAGAATAGTTGTAAGACGTAACATTCATTTCAGAGGGCAGCCTTTTTAAGATGTTCCAAAATGGAATTTAAACCACCATTCTCCACACCATAACCACTTCACCTCTTGAAAGTGGTTACAGTGCCTGGTGTCTCCTGGTACTGTCCCACTGTTCATCATTAAACTGATTCTGATTTATTCGATACTGAATGTGGCTCCTCTGGTTCCTATAGCTTCCCCATCGCTGAAGGTATGGTTAAGACGGATCCACAATCGTTATACCAGCAATGGGCAGCAGCGATAGCCGTAGTGGGCTCAGCCTGTTGCATCTCTACTTTGCAAACATGGAAGTTATGGACCGAGCAGCAGAGAGTTGCCAGGGAGCCTTATTCACTGTCAAACCATTTGAAAACACATAACAATGCGATTAGTAGCAGGGGACAATGATATGAAGTAGTTATGGTGCTGATTGTCCCTCTAGCCAGCTTGATGTACTGGAGGGAATGGGGAGTAGCTATCCCATATTGATCAGAAAACCCTCTTTTTCTGTGGCAGTATTTTAGTGTTCCTCTATCTCCCTTTTTATTTATGGTTTTACTAAATCATCATTTCTTTCTACAGGTGTCTGCCGACCGTGTAACGATACAGAAATCCTGATGGCTGTTTGCACTAGTGACTTTGGTGACTAAATGTTTACTTTAACTTTTCCATCCCCCATCAACTGTTTGTTGGGAATGCATGGATGCATTACAGTATGTATGGTTGTTGGTCTGTATTTGGGCACCAAGGTGTTATCTGGGTATAGCGCCTAGCATGGACTAACCAAAATGTGTGCAAGTTACTGCGCTGTCTTGCACGAAAGTGTATGTGTTAAAGTGTGTATGGTAACAACGAATTTTTATTCAATCAAAAATAAATCATATTTTCCAGTTAGTTTCACCAGATTGTTTACTAATCAATAATGCTTTTCAACGAGGTTCAAAACTGGCAATTCACCGGGTTGTTGATGGGTTTAAACAAGACATACTTATCTTTAGCATATTCATCTTTAGTTCTTTCTTGAAGTCTTAAATCTCTCGCTGATCCTTGTGTCTGGGAAACGGTTAATAGCGAATAAGAAACGTGTCGCAAACTGTGGAACACTGCCGTATATCTGTTTAAAGCACTAGAATTTTTCTGGTTTGTGACTTATTTATATTTTTTGTAATCTTACAATTCAGGCATCCTTGTAGAATAAAAAAAAAAAAATTGCATCTTCATTGCAGTTGGTAAAGTAGACTTTCAGTTATTGACTACAAACCTACAAATCTGTGAATGCAGCGAGAGCTGTCAAGGGTCTTGTCTAATCTGCCTATATTACCAGAAAATAATTTAGAAACGTGAGCAGCGTTATAAACTATCTTTATTTTGCTTTCCTTACAGTGTCTGGGTTGGTTGTTTTTTTTGGAAAGGTCACTTTAATTCATGGTTGGTCACTTGAGAAGACGTTTGACTTTTTGTGTTGCTAGTGGGTGTAGTCAGGACTCTTGGCTTAGGGAAAATGACTGTGTTTAATTCCAGGGCTTGGCTTGATCCGGTGGAATGCAGTTATTACCCAGCCAAGCGTCCAGTATCTTCCCAACCCCCTATCCTATTTTCTTTGGAGTTCTTACCTAAATCTCATTTGCCCCCCTGCTGTATTTTTAATAAAGGGAGAGGAACGATTGTGGTTGGATAAGAGGCTGAGAAGTGCATTGCTTCTGTACTTGAAAGTTTAAATTCTTGACTCAAGTGTAGGCCTCAGACCTGCTGTGCTGTGAAATTGTTTAATTGCACTATGAAGTCAACAAGTCTCCATTTTAACCCTCTCTGGGACGGTGTGAACAACATATTTCTTTCCAGATTATGAAACCTGTTCTTCTTGGAATTCCAATTTGTGAATAGGGCAGATTATGTTCTAGATTTGTAACTGAAATGTCTAAAGAGTATTGACCAAATGTCCCACTTGGCTTGTTCCTGGAACTGTCCCCAATCTCCTTTTGTCCCAGCTTATTAGGACAGTCTTCATTAATCTGTGTTTCACTCTCTACATGTTGTTGGATTCAAACACCATGATCTTTTTCCAAGGAATTTTGGACAAAAAAACAATTTCACACACCTCCTCTAGATTAGAACATTGCCCAGGTGATCACCGTCACTCTGCTCAGACACTGGTCGACTTGATGCCACCTGTCATGATTATACAAATGCAACCACCTTAAAACCCCCTTGCTAGGTGCTCGCTCTCTACTTCTGGAACCTCCTGATTTAATTTTTATTAAATCTGTTCAAGTATAGTTTTTTTTTTTTTTAAGTTCTGTGTCGATAAAGAACATAACGTGCTTTTAATATCTAGGTTGAAACTATTTAGTCTTTGCCGTTCTTATGAATTCTGTTCTAGTTTAAATAAAACCCTTTTGTTAGTGGTTTGTTTGTGTGTGTGTGTGTTGTTATAATTGAGTTAAATGTCAAACTTTATCCTTTTTAGAACCTCTATCTAAATGGAGGTGACGTACAAATGAACCACATGATAAAGCTTATGCACTCACATGTACTAACTGTCCATGTCTCTTTGCAGTTGTTCGTGGCAACATCCGTGCGGTAGAAAACGATGCCGAGCTGCAGGAGTCTGTGATTGGGATCAGCGCCACCCGAGTCCACCGTCAGAAATTCATACTCTTCCAGCCTCGCGGACACTCTGTAAAATCATTGGGAGATATTCGGACTCCTCTGAGCTGTGGTGTGAAAACTGGACCTGGCAGTTTCCTCTTTATGGGCTGGGTACATTTTGGAGATGCATGGCTGGGCTGTGCCCCCCGTTACAAGGACTTTAAACGAATATATGAAAGAGCATTACAGGCCCATGAAAACCCATGTGAGATTGCACTGGATTAAGAACTAAAGAGGAGTATCTGAAATATAGTATAATTATCAGAATCAAGCGGTCAACCATTAGGAGTTCACATGGAGCTTTCCTCCAAGACTCTGACCTAGGAAACCCTATATACTCGCATCAAAACAACTCAAGTTTGTGGGCAATATAAAGAGATTTCCACACCAGTCAGGACTCAACGAGATGGAATCCAGAATTAATCTGAAACCTCAATATGACTGGTCACTTGGTCTTCAACAACACCCTATGTTTTCAACGAGTTCCTCAAATCATTCTAAAGTAAAATTATGCTAGAGGGGCTGATCTTACTGATGTTATAAAAAAAAAAAAAAAAAAAAAAACTTTCTCCAGGACCCGCATACCTCTAACTGGAATAATTGAACAGTTTTTTTTATGAATTATGGAACGACAAGAAACAAAATTAGATAATGGACTTTAAGAGTTACCGTATGTGGCTCTATAAACAGAAGTGGCAAAAAAATGTGGAGGTGTTCAAGGGGTGTGGATTGTCTACTTCATCGTTAATGTTTGCTCTAGGCATGACTTTATATAAACAGAGGTTTCAAGTCTCTCTATTTTTATTTTTTTTCAGTGCTATATAGGCATATAAGGGTGTGCATGGGGCTTCTGAAATGGCAAGAGTTTAAGGGAAAAGGTAGCACCTTTTTTATACCTTGAATCCTCTTAATTATAATAATAATAATAATAATGTTTGTTTTGTGGGGGGGTTGTTTGTTGGTGTGTGGTTTTTGTTTTTTTTTGTTTTTTTCTGTTTTTCCTTTTTCAACCAGTATTACCATAATTACATGAGGGAATATAAGAGTTGGAACCATTTTAAGCAAAATGTTCTGCTGCTGTAAATTGTGTTTTTTTTTTTTTTGTTTTTTTTATTAGTCTCTGACCTGATTCTCGCCCACAAGCGGTACGGTATACACCGATTACACTTTATGCCACGTTTTTTGAGATATCACAGTTAACTTGACTTATATAATACCAGGCAGTTATTACTAATGAAAAGGTTGCAACTCCCAAGTGATATCTCCTGAAGAAACCTCTTGTCCACGATGTGAATTCAAACAAACTCCAGCTGCTACCTCTGCGAGACATCCTCACAAGGATAGATGGGTAGAGATAAGTGGATGGTGTGGGGTCATGTTTTATAAACTATCAATATAAAATTGTTTATCTTTTCACACAATTTGTAAAGCAAACGGCCATGATGCTTGCTTATATCACATTTGCCGAATATACACATGTCCGTGGGTAAAGGGTATACGGGGTTAAATAATTCATGTTGAGGTGACGCAACTCCCAGAGTTCCTGATTCTCATTTGCTAGAGCATATGCAACTCTTTCACTGCTTTTTATTTATTTATTTTTTTATATGGTCTAGAACAGGGGTAGGCAACCTTCGGCACTACAGATGTTTTGGACTACATCCCCCATAATGCTCTTACACCCATAGTGCTGGTAAAGCATCATGGGAAGTGTAGTCCAAAACATCTGGAGTGCCAAAGGTTGCCTATCCCTGGTCTAGAACATAAGGAATTTACTTGGGTTCCGATTTCCCCTGAAATGTAGACTGTGGGTTGATTTTAAATGGGTTTAACTTTTCTTGAAGTCTACAGTGTTGGTATCACTTACTAGTGGTCTGGAACCAGATCTGAACGGTGCCAGTTACTCTATAGTCTAGAACATAAGCAGGACTTTTTAGGTGCCATTTTGTCCCTATAGTCTAAGATGTCCTAATCAGCCCGCATTCAGTCACAAAGAGCTCCAGATAACCCAAATTCTGTACCTTTTGGGATGTATTCAAACTCTGATCTTTACATTTAGCATAAACATAGCTCTAAAAAGGGTACCACTTCCTATCACCATTTCACGGTTTATGGACATTTACATGCTGAAATGCAAAGTTTCAAAGATATATATATTTTCGACATTTGTTTATTTTATCTATATTTTTCTTTTGAACATTGGAAAGTGCACTATTTTTTGTTTTATTTTTTAACACCAAATGTGGGGTTTATGCAAGCAGATACAATGCATCATGATTTTTGTAGTTTTTATATTTCATTAGCCTTTGATACAATTCCATTTGATCAATAATATTGATATAGTCAGAATACAAACTCCGATTTTGGTGGGGGGATTAAATTGCATTGTATTCTAGCTAATCTTCAGTGTGTAAAGAATCACATAGTTTTGTTAAATTCTGAAACTTAAATTTCACACAAAGGAATTTAAAACATTTGGTAATTCAAAACTAAAAAAATACAACAAGCCTAAAAAATTCAAGGGTTATCTTTCTATTCAATAATGTATTTAAACTGCTTAACTGTAAACTAGTTTGCCTTAAGTCTCCCAGTGTGGCGGTTCATTACCAATCCTGGGGTACCCTAGAATGTCGGGTCATTTCTCTCAATTACATGATTTTCACCCCTTAAAGAAAAGTAAGATTTAAACCCAGGGAATAGTGAGGGTTTGTATTTTATTTTTCCAGAAATAATTATATTAAATGGTCCTTTAAACAAATATACATTCTGGGATGGGGTGGGGCTTTTTTTTATTATTATTATTTTTTGTTTGTTTGGTTTTTTTTTTGTATATATTTTATTTTATTTTTTTTTATATATATATATATTTTTTTTTATTATTTTTTTTTTGGGTGGGCAAAATCACCAAATACTGGAATATTTTAAAGAGCTTTTCCTGACTCTCTAAAAACCAGGATAGTGGATTTTGTTTAGCTTTCCTACCCGCTCTAGTGACTAGATTATAGTTGGAACACGAAGTAGGCACGGATTCATTTATATCAACGCTGTGTTTTACTATAACCTGAATGCACTGTCAAAATTGATCATTTTTATTCAGAAAGGAAATGCTGTGTAGAATATGTATGTATGTATTTCAGATTTTTGAACTTCTTCCACTTTAAATAAATAAGGAAGAATCATCTTGTCTCTGTGTCGGCTGAAATCTATTAACTGGCATTTGGTGGACCAGTTTGGTTGCTATGCAAAATTACTCGAAAATATACCTGTGATGTGACTAGGGCTAATTTTATCTAAAATTTTAAAAGAAACAGCCGTTTAAAACAATACTTTTTTTTTTTTTTTTAGACTCCTCAAAATGGGGAAACAATTGGGTAAAAAATAAAATAAAATGAAAACTCCCGTTTAGATTTTCCTTTTTCTATAATTATTATTATTATTATATTCTTTTTCCTTTTAAACTAAACTTGTAACATCAGATAAATTCCTCTAAAGACCTACTCAACCAACTAAATAAGAACTAATTTTCGGGTATCTTGGAGAGTTGCTTTTTCTGGACGTTTTAAGGCCAGCTTTAGGCCCCCCCCCCCCATACGTGTGGAGATAAAGGGCAGATCCTTTATTTTCTGATTAGGACAATTGAGCTCAATGATGTAGAGAGACTAGAATATGATCAGATATCAGCCCTCACAGAGATAAAGAAATTTTTATTTTCATTGCTGCAATTTTAATAGCTGGGTCACTGCCAGACTTACTGTCCTTTTTTTTTTTTTTTTTACTTTTTAGTTTTCTTGCCAGTTGGTCTCTAAACCTCACATTCATCCTTCACTTGCAGAGACTGGTGGTAGAATAGAAGTTAGAAGGGACAGATCAAGTCTTGAATCCTGCAAATGTACATAATGTAAATAATCACTGGATATATGGAAGATTTTGTAAATGACTCTTGTACAGTTTGTCTGTTACTGTATTTGTGTTTTATATATAAAAAAATATTTCAAGAAACTTTTTTTTTTTTGTTTTGTATTTTTATATATATATTTTTTTGTTTGTTTCAACATGCTGTAGTTCATACATTCTTAAAAAAAGGCAATTTTGTCATCTACCAATTATTAATTTGTAGTACTTTCTCAGTGCATTGAGAATATATTATTTTATTTCTATTATATAAAACCATTTTAATTTACATTTTATGCAGAAAGATGCATTTTGTACAAACATTTTAAAAAATATATTCGAGTACGTGATTTCACAGTGGTGACATCAAGAGTGCATTTATCTTTCTGTGATCTTTAATGATTATAAAGAGAGTAGGTAGACTACAAAAGAGAAGGGGAGAAAGAGATGGTTATGATTTATGGCCATCATAGTTTACAGCTACTTGCGTTGGATACATTTTTTTTTTTTTTTTATATAGCATGATTGTATTAAACAAACACTATTGGGTCAGGAATGCAAACACCACCATTTAGCTCCCCCATTTCCCCTTGCCTTCCTGAATATGGTAAAATCGTACTTGTATTTAAGTCTGTAGATGCTGCCTCTGCCCATGACCTGTCTGCTGAATCTGTGAGCCAATAACAATGCTTCCCCATAGGATTGGCTGAGACTATGAAGGAGGCGGTTCAGGGGCAGAGCCAGCAGAAGTCAAACACAGCCCTGGCCAATCAGCATCTTCTCATAGAGATGAATTGGATCCATGCATCTCTATGAGGAAAGTTCAGTGTCTGCATGCAGAGGGAGGAGACACTGAATGGCAGTACTGCACAATAGGCAGCACTGCCTCAGGAACCACTTCTAGCAGCCATCTGAGAAGTGGCTAGTTGAGATCTCTAGGCTGTAATGTAAACACTGCATTTTCTCTGTGTTTACGGGTGACTATAGTGTCTCTTTAAAAATGCAAAGTGGTGTAGTGTACAGTTTCACCCAGAGATCTGCTCCAATAAGTAATCATTAGACCATCTAGTCTGCCCAATTTTTCAAAATAATTTTAATTAGTTCCTGGCCCTTTCTTAAGTCTAGGCCAGCCTTATGCCTATCCCACGCATGCTTAAACTCCCTCACTGTGTTAACCTCTACCACTTCAGCTGGAAGGCTATTCCATGCATCCACTACCCTCTCAGTAAAGTAATATTTCCTGATATGATCTCAAAGTAAGGACTCGCAGTAGTGGACCAATAATCTATTCACTCTATTATGCCCTGCAGCCCAGTGTATTTACTTCATTTCTCAAACTGCCATTTTCAGGGATGTTCTATGCACCATAGTCACTAAATTGCATTAAAGCAGTTAATGTGGCCGTAGTTTTTTGGAAAATGGTTTAACAATGGAGTTCCCCCAGGTGACTGCAGCCTGACCACTCTTTGCTGCTTGGGACTATTCTTCTGCATTGGTCCAAGCAGTGATCGGCTAAGAATGTTAGCCATGCGCCCTCAGACTACAAGAACTGCATATCGCTGAGGTGAGTTGGTATGGCTGAAAAGGAGGTACACTCCGCAAATATAAAGCCACCGGCTTCCAGGAACCCTCATTTACATATAACACATTTAACACTGATCGCTGGGTCGACATTAGGGGACTATAGACCCCATAACCATATCAATTCGATGAAGTTGTTATGGTGCTTAGATTTTCCCTTTAAGTTGCAGTTACTATATTTTAATCATGTTGCAATGTATGCAATTACCATGACCTACAATAATTCAGGAGCTCCCAATCGGACACCAGAAAGGTCCCTAAAATTTTGTAAGTTTTGATGTTATTTTAATTTACTGTCCAATGTCATTTTAAAAAATACATTTATATTTAAAGAGAAGAAAACTAGATAATACTACAAACACGGGGGAGCTGATTTATTTTGTTTTCTATGTGTTTTAGCCTAAAACGTGCAATTTTCTTGTGTGTTCTCTGCACATGAAATCATATAATTTTGATATTTTTCAGTTAATACTTTTTTGGTTATAAAGCTGAATTCTCACTGCAAGCCTGGGTCTCCTACTGCACACTTTGGTCCTACAAGAAACTGACTTTTTAATTCCGATGTTATGCGATAAATATTGTTCGTCCACTTTAATCTTTTAATCTTATTACGCAGCCATCATAAATCAGGCTGTACATCAAAGCAAATCTGTCAAGGCAGTCATGCATGGGGGAAACCTGCAAGTCTTATTGCAAATGAGATTAACGAGGGCATTCTACACATATCCCATAGCTACACCAGTGACTTAATACTTTTTGGATTAGTATGAAAAATGGTGTTAATTGTCTAGTGACCATACACTGATACACATTATTAAATCATCTGTAGAATGTATGGGATTTACAACAACGCAATCTAGATATCTACCTTGGGCCTGGTAATGAGGGCACTGTAGGGAGCGCAGCCACAACCTCTGATTTCTCTCTGTGCCGCTTACTGTGAATTAAGTGGAAGGGTGCAAGGATAGGCGAAATCTTGATACTCTGCCAAGGGTCCAATTAGACATATTTGAATTAGATCTTTTGTGTTTATGCTTGAATAATCTATATTTGCATTCACCCTTGCGATACAATGTAGTTTGGATGAACTGAACACAGAGTCACAAGGCAAAGCATCTTTGCCAACACTGGAATGTATAAAAACAAGATGGCAGGGTGCGTGGCCAAACGCAGGAGTGTCCGTATGGTGCATGTATCACTGCCCGTCATGCAGAAAGAAGTGTAAACCAGCAGTGTGTGCATAATAAATAAATCCACAATCCTGCCCGCCAGGTCTGAGCATGCGCATAAGCACACTTGCATAGGCAAATTGTAATGGTTTGGCACAGCTCCGCGCACTTTTAAAGGGTTACTCCAAGCACCATGATTGCTTTAGTGATTTGAAGTGGTCATGGTGCCTGGTATCAGTATGGTTTGGGGACAGAAATACTCGGCCAAGGAGGTTTTCTTAAGGCTCGGTAGGCTCCGCAGAAGCAGCGGGCAGGCTATGCTAACACACACCTACCACCCCTTATTATAACTCCGAAGCATAGGACAGACACATAGGACGTGCACAGTTGCCCAGTGAGAAGCGTCTGATTGGTGTATTCCCTGGCAACGACTGAAAGTCTGTGTCAGGGAAAGAGGGAAAATAATAATACATGTATGTTTTCTTGGGGTATATCTTCTATCTTCAGAAAGGAAATCAAATATATATCTCAATAGAGTGTTCCTTCTAAAAAGGCCAACCAGACCACAATTTCTTTTTTTAGTCACCAGACTGCCGTACCTTAGAATAGTGTTTCCCAAACTAGTCCTCAAGTACCCCCTAACAGTCCATGATTTAGGGATTACCCAGTTGTGTCTAAGGTGTTTTTAGAACAGGGAAAAGACACAACGGGGTAATCCCTAAATCCTGGACTGGTAGGGGATACTTGAGGACTGGGTTGGGAACCCCTGTCTTAGAACAACATTAGAGAAGAAAAGCATGGTGGGAGCTTGTGATACTAAAAAAAAATAAAACAATGAGTCTTGCCGAGTTATAGGCCTGGAGCTGCAGCTCCATCAGCCCCATATTACTGCTGCTCAGGGTCCCTGGGAATAGTGGAAGCTGACAAGGGTATTATGGTGTTTATGCCAAAACCAGTGCAACTGGAAAATTCTCCAAATTAGCTGTTTTTGTTTTTTTACAGTTTGACTCATTTATCCTAAAATTACAATCCCTTTTCACTTCCCCACAATTCACAGCTTAGTGACTAGATCTCAATGAGCACAATATCCTCTTTAATTCTTCAAATAATGTCTCCCCTAATACAAGACGTGTAGGAAAGATGTTGCTATTAGAACTAATCAATTCTGACCATCAAGGGGGCAATGTCTAAAATAATAACCAGAGTTTGAATGTATAAAGGTGATGTGGTGTTGGACATGCAATAGAAAGATTTTGAGTTAAAATGAAACAGCTGAGAATCGTTGTAGTCCGCAAGAGCAGACCACCCATATCTCCATGAGTTAGACAAGTTAAAAGCTAGCAATCTAATGCAATTCTATATTAAATGTATCTTTCCCAGGCCAAATGTTCCAGATTACAGAACTTGTCCAGTTCTGATACATTCCCAGCATGCTGTTTTTGAATAAATTTTGCACATCATTGGCCATTTTCTGGTTCAGTCAGTAGACCCTTAAAGTATTCCCTTAATTTTTTAACATACAGTTAGACACAATAACTTGCTGTAGTGGTAATGGTGCCAGCATGCCCCTGGCATCATCCCCTGCTTCTGTGTCAAACTGTTTTTTGAGCAGTTGTGCAGCGGTTTTCTACATTACTCTGTTAGCAATATTATTTTTTTTCTAAATTTTGATGGTATTTATTGACCAATTAATGCAATACAAACATGGTCAAAATTGATATTCCTGGTGATTTTTATAATGTCTGCATTAGCAATATGGACAATAAGAAGCCGACCACAGTGACCCATAGTATGTGTCAAAATTGAAAATCTAATTCTAATTCTGAAACAGAATTTGGGGGCTGCATCAGGGGCATGCTGGCACCATAACCACTACAGTGTGTTCAGTGCTTAGAGTAGTCCTTTAAACCATAATTGTTTCTTTACCCCAATTTAGAATTTATTTCTCAGGATTAAAACAGTAAATCTTGGTCTTGACTTCCAAATCCCACACCAACTCTATTACCCTCCTCCTATAAGTTACAATTTATCATAACATTTTGCAATAAAGGGTCCCAGATGAGTTGTGATCGTTCTCACTGAAATATACAAAGTATCTCTAATGGAATCTCACAGAGACGTTATTATTATTATTATTTATATAGCGCCTGCAAATTCCATAGTGCTGTACAATGGGACAAGGTTATTCAGTAAAATGAGAATTGTGGAGAACTGACAGAGAAATTGCACATTTTAATCAATAATATCAGAATTGGAAAATATTTCTCCAATTTGGCTTCTTTGCCCTGGAACGTGCAATGTCCTG